CTAACCCTGAATCTGGTGCCGGCCACGCTTTGTCAGCGAGCGTCTAACCCTTCCGGCGTCACCGACGGCCAGACTCGCGGGCAAGGCAGGGAGCTCCGAGCTCACAGTAAGCAACCCTTGCCTCCTCCTCTCATCTCATCCCCCAAAAGTACGACTCGACATGTCAGGATTCGTAAGTACTCTATGAGGACTTGGAACTATGCGTTCTGATGTGCTTGCAGTTCTCAGGGTGGTGGGGCTCGTCCTCGCCGTCTCCCGCTCCTGAACCCGCCAAGTACGACCCGACGGACCCGACACAGAACCCTCTCAACCCGCAGGGTCTTAAGCCGTATGTCTCTTATCCTATTCAATGGGATCCTATGTTGACGCACGGTTAGATGTTGCGCATGCCCGCAGACAAAGTCCGTCCGCGATGACTGCTTCCTGAAATTCGACTCTTCAGTGGCAGACGAGAAGTGCAAGGAGCTCGTGCAGGCGCACATAGCTTGCATGCGGGGTTACGGGTTCAAGGTGTAAGATGCGCACGAAGACCCACCCGTCGTCAGGAGGACACACAACGCTGCACTAATCCGTACATTTGCTAAGTTATACCCATCACTACTCAGATAGATACATCCTGGGGTTGCACGTCACATACGGTCGATGGTTGCTGCAAATCGAGACGAAGGATCTAGCGATGGTCCGGACTACTCCAGAGGTATGGTGAACTCCCAGCGGCCCTCGGCCAGCCCCTCTGCTGTATCCCGAAGCAGCATTTCGTGGCGCACACGGACGTAGACCTGCGCAGAATGCATTATGTCTTTGAGTCATTTCATCAGATCATCAGAAAGTTGTCACCCACTGTCTTGTCCATCATACGTTGTCGAAGGCCCTTAATGGTGTCTTTCTCAACCGGCTCTTCCAGCAGTTGCGACAGGTCCTCCACAGCCTTTTCCAAGTCACTGCAAAGAGATGAGGTAGACATGTCGATTAGACTGTTAGGAAGGGGTATCAATCAAACCTACGCTTGGATGTCTTCGAATATTTGTTTCTGGTTGCCCGACACAAGGAAGTACGCCATCGCGTACGACCATTTGAGCGTCCGGCGGCACTTCGTCAACTCGTCGACGGCAGTCTGCATGAACCTCGCCTAGCACATACACCATCAGCACCCAACAAGCCAACTGCGAGCCAACACTGCATACCTCGATCCACGACAGGTTGCTGCTCTTCTGCACCTCCACGACTTTCTCCTCCGCACGCTCGACGAGCTCCTGGTCGAGGCGCGAGGAGAGTTCGTGGTTGTTGAACCGGTCAAAGTAGAAGAGCCACTTCTCGAGGTTCTGCCCCGCCGCCGTCATCGTCTCGTCCTTCTCGGGCTCCTTCCACGTGTTGCACACTTCGTTGTTGTACCCGTGCACCTCCCACTTCTGCATGCACAGCCAGCAGAACTGGAAGTTGCAGTGGCGGCAGAGTATCCGGCTGCGCGCGACGTCAGGCTACGTCCCGCAAACCAAACAGAAGCAGAGGACACACGCACTTGCACCCGCCAGCCTTCTCGATGCTGTTCTTGCAGTTCGGGCACGTCCGCGTGTTCGCCTTGATCCACTGCGACGTGCCCGCGTCCTCGCGCGCACTCTTCAGCCAGACCTCCACGAGCTTGCACACGATCGGCCGGTGGTCCGAGTCGAGCCCGCACCCGAAGCAGAATGCGTGCCCCGCGCCGCACTCCACCGTGGCACCTCCGTCTGCAGGCTCACGCCCCGCCCGCCCGCGCAGAGCACCGTCTCCGAGCAGCCTGGGTGGGGCAGAAGCGCAGGGTTGGGTGCGCGCCGACGTAGGATTGCAGGAGCAGTTCGCGGTACCTTAAGAAGAGCTGCACGTGTCAGTTGCAGTCACTAGGAGAGGAATGCAGTAGAACGCCGAACGTACTAGAGGACGCTGCATGTGGTGTACGCCAATCTATGGTTACGATGGTGCCGATCGCGTGGCAGTGTGCTGCGCTTCATTGCGCAGAGAGGAACTGATCAAGCAGCCGCACCATTGCGTGGGGTCTCGTTCACCGATCTGATCTCATGCGAGACCACACCCACATTAGCCGTATATGCACACACTTCCGAGAAGATCCACGTACCGCTCAAAGACGGCTTCGCCACGAGCTTCTCGATCGACGGTTCGTCTACAGACGTCGTGCATGCGTCCTGCATGCAGTTGAACAAGCACTGGCCTCCTCCTTGATTTGCCGGTACGTATGTCGCCCAGCATGCCTCGCAGAATTCGTGGTACATCGTAACGGAATATGTTCGCGGGGTCGGTGTCGCAGCAGATCGCGCACATGAAGTCCGTTGGCGTGTCTAGGCGCGCACGTTTGGAGGGGCGCGGATTGGGCGACGATGGGGCGTCCTCCGGTTCGCCGGCGTCGGACAGGACGGTGGCGGAGCCGTCCATGAAGTGCTCGATGAGGCGGTCGCGGTTCCATCGGAAGTGCTGCAGGAGGATCGACGCGATAGGCGACTGGGAACGGTGATGTGAGCGGGAGGCGAATAGGAAGCGGGGGATTGCGCACCTCGAGCCCGATGATGCTCGCCACCGTGCGGATGTCGTCGTCTACTCGCTGCTGGAGACGCGCGGCGGAGAAGCTCTCGTACTCGACGCCCGGAGACTTCGATTTGCCCTTATTTTTCGCCACGGGCTCCTCGAAGTCTGAGTCGTTACCCTGCACGAACGCGGTAAGCCACAGATGACCACGCTGGGCGAGCTCACTGAAGGTGAGGAACTTACGTCGACGATGGGTCCATCAGAGTCGTAGGAGTCACTGGGGTAGCCGTCCGAGTCGTCGTACATGGCTGGAGAGCAGAACAGTGGCGGTAGATGGCAGTATGCAGACACGGGCCCGTGCACGGTGAAGAGGGCTAGTCTCCCGTAGGCAGACCCTAAACACGACCTTGTTGAGTGGGGAGGGCGGTCGTATATGGGTCTGCTTCAATTCGCGCCCTCGTCACCGCTCGACTCCTCCAGGACCCATTCTGTGATAGCCGAGCGATGCCGGTGGCTACGGCAGGGCACGGCCAGGCTGCCGGTGGCTGGTCATAGATCCATCGCAGATATGATTGAACTGTACTTGCCAGTGCTTACAGTATGACTGAACGGCTTGTCATGCTCTCGCGCGAATTCGTTACAGCGGTCAAATACCGCTTCAGACCCTCCTTCGTAATGCGGTCGTCGTACGGTAGTCAATACGTACAAACATCATATTGGGGTCTATTGAATGCTGCTGTAGTGAGTCGCGGTAGATATCATACTCGGAGTGAGCGGACAGATGAGAAGGAGTAGGCATTTGAATATATGACTAGGTGAGCTGCGAGGATGAAGGAAGTGAGCGGACAGGTGAATGAACGGACCAGCGAGGAGCCAAGAATGGTCGGATGCGTGCGTGGCTGGGTGCACGGCCCGGGGCAAGTACTACAGTACGAAATCGGCTCGGTTAGATGTGCGGGCAATTATCGAGTGGGCAGGCAAGTGATATGGATGTTCGGGCAAGCGAGTGCACAAAGTTCCCTGACTCAGCGCCCACTTGCGCTCCTCCTTGAACCGGCGCCGCTCCGAGTCTGCGAGGCTCGCACGCCGCATGCGAAGGACCGCCACCGTACGTTCCTGCGGGGTCATGCGGCCATCCAGGTCAATGGGCGACGGAACGGAGTCGAGGGACTCGGAGGGACTCGATGGAGGGTGCAGTGAGCTTGCGTAGGTGAGCGTAGATGTGATGGGGTGAGGCTACTTCGAGGCGGCAAGGATTCCGCTCGCGTTCTCTGTCCCGTTTACAGTCTCGGTCGTCCAAGTCGTGGTGGGGTCTATGGCCGTCCTCGCGCCGATGCCGTGTGCGTTCCTGCCAGTCAAACGAGACGAGCCGCACACGTCTGCTCGGTATGTGCGTCTCGCGCAGCGCGGCGGTGCGTGACCACGTCGTCGTCTTAGTCGCCTCGGTTGTCTTAGAGTCCTCGAGGGTCTTGGGGAGCGCGTCCGTGAAGACAAGCCCAGTGCCATACCAAGAACAGTGCCTACGCACTGCATGTCATCGAGGCTGCGGGAGTAGGCACAGTGCAGACAATTAGGTAGTTGTGAAGGCGAGTGGGCACAAGTGTGCAGGTGAGAAAGCGAGTGGCTGCGGATAAGTCGTTAGACGAGCGGGCAGTCGATAGAATGAGCAAGTGGGCGGGGAAACGGGCAAGACCAGATGAGCGAGGCAAATGCGCCAGAGGCAAGTGAACAAGTGAGGAGGCGAGTGAACGCAATGTGCTAAAATGTTCATCAACAGATCTAAGGGGCACCGGCAGAGAAAGCAGATTATGTGACGCATTAAACAAGCACACACCTCGCTTTCAAACCTTCGTGCTCGCTGTGCTCGACCTCACTATTCATTCCCTCCCCAGTCTTTGCATTACCCTTGCCACCTCCAAGTTCTGCACTCGTCGTGGTCAGGGCAGATCACGTACCATGTCAATATGACGGGAGCATGGAATACACCAGTGGATGTCGGTCTCGCTGAAGTTAGGGAAGCCGCGGGCGCACAAGTCGGCAGACGACCAGAGTGACTATAGAGTCACGCGCCTTCACCAGTGTACGCTGCTAACGAACACTTGCATCGGTACTCCGGAGTAACGAGTTCATACATCCCCTCATTTTGGTCACGTTGATCTTGTCGAGCATGACAAGCAGTGGTAGGTGTAGGCTCCTCGAAGCGATGCCGCAGCAGAACATAGTGTCATGGGGCGAGCCAAGCCTATCGAAAAGGCGCTGTGCAATCAGAGCGGGAGCTCAAAGAATCGTAGAATCGTGGATGGCTGTATGTAGAGAGTGGGGAAGCGCAAGGGAAGTGAAAGTCACTGAGACGACCGCGTCGCCTCAGACGCGTCGCGCGCGGCGAGATTTACACGCGCGTTTCGGAGATCGACCTGCTTATGTAACTCCGCCAAAAAGTCGACCAGTGTTCGACCCGCATATTGAAACAGACTAGAAGAGGGCGGGAACGCGTCTACAAGCGCGCCGAATCGACTTGGGCGCCTCACCGCGTCCCGGGCCAAGGTCATCTGAAGATCCTCCGCGCGTTTTGTCACGCGCATCGCGCAACCATCTCAAGATGCACGAACTAACCTGTGCTACCACCAATTTGCTTCCTGCTTTCGTTGTCGGCAGGCTGCTGCTGGACAAGCTCGCGAAATGAGCCCTCCAACAGACCTGAAGCAAGTGGTTGACGAGGAGATCAAGTAAGTTTGGCAGTACCCGCGGTCTCCCAGACTGACGTTGCATTACAGGGAATGGCACTTCCGTATGTGATTCATGGTCGTGGCAGCGTCGATGGGCTCAGTACGTTGGTCAGATATATACTTCCACCAGCGGAATGCGGACGAGCACCAAGCCGCGCTTGAGTTGCGTGATGCTGTCCTGCGTCTCAGGCGCGATGGTGCGTTCATTGCGGTCCCCCTCTTCCGAGTCAACACGGATCCTATTGGACCCCATCCTGTGGGTATGTGACTGCCAAACAGGCATTGCCTGTATCTGTGCCAACGCCGCTGACCATGCATAGGTTCATACGAGATATGGTGCCCATCAGAGTCATTCGCATCGGTCTACTCGTATCTGTGCCAGCACCGCGGAAATTTGAGGTACGTTGGCTAACTCTTCTACTGCATAGCGCAGTGCGCTTCATGTGTGTGCAGCATTCTCGTCCACCCATTGACGCGTGAAGAGGTGCGTGAGGCCGTCTTCCACCAGTTTTAATGGTGCTAACACACTTCCCGCCGTAGAGAAAGTCAGTAACCCAAACAGGTCTGCCATGTGCATCTCATGACCTTCACCCAGGGACCATGAAATACGCAACTCCTGGATAGGTCCCTCTTTCCCGCTGGACTTGTCCATGATGCCGGTCCTGGCAGATGAGGTTCCCCTACAGTACCCCAGCCTGAGTACGCACACCCATTCACACACACCTAGAAGAACGCCCACTAATGCATTTTTCAGAGCTCGGTTACTCCTCTGAGGCATCGCCCCTCTCCCTAGAAGATCGGCGCAAGATTGGTGCAAATATTGAGCGCATCTTGAAGGGGGAAAAGGAGGCGGCAAAGGCTCCGAGCGATTAGAGCTTTGTAGTCCTACTTAGGTTCTCAAGCCTGCACCAGCCATTGCCAGATGTACCTACTTTACGCGTAGATATGTCTTGGTGTCACTTTGTTCCAGAGATGTGCTGTAGCTTGATATCAACGTGGGGTGCGGTCATGGACCGCCATCGGAATGGTGCCGGGGGATTCGCTACTGAGTACTGAAGGAGCCTGACCTCACTGAGGAATTGACTACCTGCACCATCACTCTATACGCTTCGGTCATAGCGACTGTTAGTGTGGATCGCATACACGCCCACGGTGTACACATGTGCGGACGATCCGAACTTCAACGAAGCCGGCAAGCAACTTAACCATGACTGAGACTGACTCTACCACATACGCCCACTACCTCCGGCCCAATCCACCTGGCACATTCGCTGTTTTAAACACTATTTATCCCTAAAGTGACTCGTTACATATAAAGCTCCACGAAGAGATCGAAAACTTCAGACTATCAACGATGGCACGCCCGCGTCAGGGTCCCTCCAGCACGATCGTGATCAAACTAGGTCCGTAAAACGCCCCTTGCCTGTGTCCTTTGTATATCCTTCTGACCTCGTGCTCTCGACTTGCAGGAACCTCCTCCATTGTCCATGAGAAGACTCACCAGCCGCTGCTTTCTACGCTTTCCGCGGTGGTGGAGACGGTCGTCCACCTGCGGGAGCAGGGGCACAAGGTCGTGCTCGTTAGCTCGGGGGCGATCGGCGTGGGGTTGAAACGCATGAATATGCCGCATAGACCGAAGGGATTGTCAGGAAAACAGGTGCGTCTTTATGTTTGTCTTGAGTCTTGAGACATGAGTTCGTCTGGAGGAGACGCAGCACAGTTCTCGAGGGATGGTCGATATCCTATGACTGCGACCAGACCAAGCTGTGCAGTATGACTCTGGCTTACCCGCATCCTGCGGACATGTTGTATATGGTTCGGCTACTGATATATGCTTGTGCAGGCACTGGCTGCCATCGGTCAAGGTCGACTGATTGCCCTATGGGACAACTTGTTCAGTCAGCTGGAACAGCCCATCGCACAGGTGCTACTCACTAGAGGAGATATCTCAGACGTATGTGTTATCCTATTTCCTAGCACGCTATGCTGACTCGTAGGTTTCAGCGTACTCGTTATTTGAATGCCGTGAACACATTCAAGGAGCTGCTATCCATGGGTGTCATTCCCATTGTTAACGAAAATGACACCGTATCCGTTAGCGTGAGTCCTTTCCTCTATACGCCTGCGCGGTGTCATGAATTGTACAAATGTGTGCAGGAAATCAAATTTGGCGACAATGACACACTTTCCGCCATTACCGCTTCTATGATTCATGCGGACTATCTCTTTCTCTTAACTGATGTCGATGGGCTGTACACTGCCAACCCGCGAAAAGATCCCAATGCAAAACTTCTAGAGGTCGTCCCGTCCGTGGCGTCAATCCGCTCACAAGGTGCGCATTCACGGAGTCATCCTTGAGCCCAACATTCATCACGAACGGCGCCCAGTTAGCACGTCGACGTTGGGTTCGAGTCTGGGGACCGGTGGCATGGAGACCAAGCTCATCGCCGCCGACATTGCGACAGCCGCTGGAGTCACCACCATCATCACGTCCAGCAAAGACCCCAAGAGCGTATTCAAGATAATTGAGTACAACAACGCTCTTCGGTCCGGCTCATCAACACCCGCTCACCCACAGTCGGGACGCTCAAGTCCTATCTCGTCTCTGCCCACCGTCCACGCTGTCCCCACATCAGACTCTACCACACCATCACCACGAAGTGGTACGCCTCTGGGTTTGCTCCGACCTCCACACACAGTGTTCACACCATCACCCGCACCGATGCGCGACCTCAAAGCCTGGACGAGTCATACGCTGCACCCATCCGGCAGCGTGGTCATCGACCACGGTGCCCATGCTGTACTGTCTCGGAGAGAATCTGGCGGACGCCTCCTTCCTGCGGGCGTCCTCGGTGTGCGTGGAGCCTTTGCCTCTGGCCAGGCAGTGCGAATAGTAGTGAGGAAACGGCTCGCGCATGAACTACACCCAACAGCGTCTGCCCCGGAACTCGGGACGTCAACTCCCAACACACCTCTGTTGCTAGCCACCGCATCTGTGTCGTCGTCGATATCTACCCTGGATCCGGGATTGGAGTTGTCGGACATCGCCACACATGTACTCTCCGTCGTCGATGAGGAGGCAACGCCTTCGGTCACTCAAAGAGTGCTGCCGGAAGACCATGTACTTGTCGAAAAGCCGGTGGAGGAGTGCGACGAATGGGAGGTGGAAGAGGTCGGACGAGGTCTGGCCAATTACAACTCAGTCCAGATCGACAAGGTCAAGGGACTGAAAAGGTGAGCCCTTCGATCGCCCTCTCTGTTCACATGCTCACGGCGATCTTCTACCACAGCTCGTACATCGCCCAGCTACTCGGATATGCAGATTCCGAATACGTCGTAGAGAACATCACTGTCCGTGTACCCCCATGACATCCTGATCCACGTCAGCGTTGTTTATCTGGTATGCAACGTTCTACCGATAGTGCTTTTTGACGTCGCGGAGGGAGCTGCCGAAGAGTAACCGTTAGAGTTTGTCGTGCGAGGATCAGAGATTCTTCGTCTACAAGCAGGCATGAGGCAGAGTGCTGTGCAGCCTGCTCCTCAACGTTCTCGACGTGCACTTCTCTCAACTCCCGCCTTCGACTCGCGTTGTCCGCGTGCCACTTAGAGCCGCCGTCAAATTGAGCATCAAATTCGCCGTCAGATCCCGCTTACATAACGTGAGGAGCCCTTCAAATCATGAGCGCAGATGGACCATCGCTTTTCAAAGCGGTGCCAAGGTTCGATCCTTTTCAGCTCACCATCCTACCCTTCCCCTTCTGATATATCCCCGTACTTTATCGCTCTTTTCGCATTGAATGCTCTAATACTACACGCTGAACGGACATGCTGCACGGCAACTCTGTCAGAATCCTGACTGGTAAGTCCTGCGCGCCGGTCTCGTGGAAACTGACCGCCTACGTCGGACGCAGGAAACAGTCACCCCGAGCTCGCCCAGGCTGTGGTCGAGCGGTGAGCCCCAGCTTCGCCAGAGCTTGGCGGTCCTTCAGTTTGGACTGGAGATTCACAGAGACCTGCTGCAGGCTCAACGTCCCCTTGACTCCTTGCACAGTCAAGAAGTTTTCGAACGGCGAGATCGACGTCAAAATCGCAGAGTCCGTCCGCGATGAGGACGTCTTCATCATCCAGTCCGGATGCAACGACGTCAACGACAGCCTCATGGAGCTCCTCATCCTCATCTCTGCGTGCAAGGGCGCCTCCGCACACCGGATAACGGCGGTCATCCCCTGCTTTCCGTACGCACGGATGGACAAGAAGGACAAGTCGCGCGCACCCATCACCGCCAAGCTGGTAGCGAACATGCTCGCCGTAGCTGGCTGCGACCATGTCATCACCATGGACCTGCACGCCAGCCAGATCCAGGGCTTCTTCGACTTCCCGGTGGACAACCTCTACTCGGAACCACTCATGATCTCGTACATCAAAAGAAACATAGAGGGATGGAAGAACAGTATCATTGTCAGTCCGGATGCAGGTGGAGCGAAGCGGTGAGTCTGCAGTGCGATTCGAGGTGCTCGTGTGCTTATGTGCGGGCGGGCAGGGTTACGGCTATCGCGGACAAACTTGGGGTGGAGTTCGCCCTCATTCACAGAGAGCGAACTCGTAAGTCGGAGGCGGCACCCGAGAGAATGGAGGTCCTCGTGGGAGACGTGCGCGGCAAGGTAACGTATCCGTCAAACTTGAGATGTATGGACGAACGTGCTCAACCCGGGCGGTGTAGGTGGCTATCCTCATAGATGATATGATAGACAGCGGCCGGACCCTCGCGCTCGCCGCACCGCTCCTGAAGGAGAAGGGAGCGTCAAAAGTATTTGCTCTGATCTCACATGGTGCGTGGTTTGGCGCTTCCTCTTGAGCAGACGGGGTGACGTTCTCGAAAGGGCTGCTGTCTGAGACCAACATGAGCATGATCGAGGAACTGCCGATTGAGCAGCTTGTGGTACGTCTGTGTGCTGCTGATACCTTTTCGCGTGACTCAATGTGCATACCTCGCAGGTGACGAACACCGTCCCCCAAAAACACCACGAAGAGGGTTGCTCGAAGCTTGTCACCATCGACGTCAGCCCTACAATCGCGGAGAGTATCCGTAGGACGCACAATGGAGAGAGTATAAGTCTGCTTTTCGGGGACTGGGCAGATGGACTTGCCGTCAACGGTGTTGGTAGCTATTGAGAGGCGATGGCCTGCAGAGACGATGTATCACTTACGTAGAATGTACTCATTACCGGGACGCCACGACTGATATTGCCAGCCAATATTGTAACAGACTACAGGACGTTATGGCGATTGCGCAAGGATCGCACGCCACACCTGTATCATGGAGTGCGACATGCGAAGCGATTCTAGGTTGAAATCAATTAGGCCTCATCCTTATCCAACTCGACTGCTTGACTCACTCTTTCCTAAGATTTCTCGACCTTCCATCCTGCATCGAGGGCATCCGAGACCAGGAAGTCGTACCAGAACATCGCAATAGGGACTGTCGACAGGTGCCACAGCGAGTGAGCATCGATGATACGTGCCCACGGAGGGAAGTCAAAGAGCTCGAGAGACGTCGCGAAGAAGGTCAACATGACGAAGAGCGCCGCAGCGGACGCGTACGGCGGGCGGTAGGACCGTAGTTTGTGCGGGAACCGGCGGAGGAGGGGTATGGAGGATGGTAGTGAGTATGCCAGCCAGAGCAGGTTGTGGATCATACCGAGTGTGAGGTTGAACGCCATGTTGTATGTGTAGTCGAATCGTGGAAGGAGGGTGAGGTAGGAGACGTGCGCGAGGTAGGCGAGGGAACAAAGACATGACCACACAATATACGGCGCAGATGAAGTTCGCCGTACTTCGTACCCGTTGACCTCGGTCGCATAGAGGTGGAACAGCCGCACGGCTGTGTAGTAGAGGGCATAAAGGATGGCTAGTGCCGCCGAGAAGTAGTCCATCTTCTCGGTCACAGGGAGATCTACGCATAATGCAGTGCGAAGTCAAAGGAAACACAAGCTGCAACCTCGACTGGACACGTACCTCGAGTATGGAAGACCGATGACCAGACCCAGGCGTTCATACTGACGAACGCGAAGCGTCGGTAATAACTCTTCATCGGATGGTTATCGGGTATCGACCTCTGCATCCTCCGCCACCCTCTGTAGTGAGCAAGGAAGTTGAGCATGGAGAATGCGACAGATGCAGGCTCCTGCATGCCCGCCAGTCGCCAGAATGGCCATTTGCCGTGATACTGCTGGACTGGCAGCGCGTTTTGCAGAGCATGGTCCGTGATGGCATGCATGCAGCCATACTTGCAGTCGTCAACGCACGTCCACCTCGTGAGCTGCATCGGGAGGGACACGGTGCTTGCCCAGATGTTATAGTTGTCCCCGCATACGCGAGACTCGCATTTTGATACACAGTTGCTGTAGTGCTCTGCTCGATCTCCTGCTGACGCGTAGACGACGCTGAGAATGCAAAAAAGCAGGAGCGTGTACGATACACGCATGATAACAGCCTGGTGTAAAGGAGCGGAAGGATATGCTATGCTCGTGGCGGAGGCTGAGACGACGTAAGTACCGACTCGTTCGATGACAATGTCGCGCTTACCATAACAGGGCGAGACACGTCCAAAATGGCTGTATCACGTAAGCTGGTGGCAGATCCTCCAATTCTGCACGTTGAGGACGCAGTTCCTAGTACTAACGTATCCACTTTCTACCTCTCACAGGTTCATTGAAATTCGAGACGGTGCGTTTCACTTAATGAGATGATGCAATGTGCGCCTTTTGAAGTCGACTACTTCCAGAGTCGCTGCAAGATTAGCAAGAGGATTAGTTCAGATTGCTCAGTGCCACCCGACGTAAGTGGCAACTTTGCTGCAGTGCTGCTACTTGTGTGGTTCTCTTGATTAACTAGCTTCACACATTGTGTATCTTATGATTCGCTATAATGCTGATACTTCTCACTAGGCGCTTCCGGGGCCCAGAACATGGTTCGGTCATACCAAGCAACAACGTTCTCTTCAGCACCTTACTTCGATGATCGAGGACCTTCCGGTCATGCCGAACCAATCACAGAACGCGTCAATGTATGTCCTTCATACTCGTAACGAGAGATGACCTGAGTTCTCTGCAGCCACATTCTCGTCCCATAGTATCGTATTACTTTCCGAAAGGAGTAGGCGCACAACATTATGGAGTGTGTGATCTTTGCACCCCTCATAGTGCACTACTCACGATTGCCTCCAGGAGCGACATCCAATGAAGCCGCATAGGTTGACTCTCACAAATACCCTTGTGATGGGGTACGGCCTAGACAAACAAATCCATCACATATATAACCCACGACCCGCCACCCAGGCTGAGTTAGAAGCCTATCACGACCATGATTATATCGACTTCCTCTCCAGGTTAGTTGTTGTCAATCACTACAATCATCACCCCTTTGAATCCTTCTTCAGAGTCACCCCACAAAACCAGGCGGACATGAAGCATCTGATAGACACATTCAACTGCGTTGAGGATTGTCCTGTTTTCTCCGACATGTACGAATTCTGTCGCATGTACGCCGGCGCATCCTTGGCAGCAGCAAGAAAGCTCTGCGCGGGAACCACTGACATAGCGATCAATTGGTCCGGTGGACTTCACCACGCGAAGAAAGGCGAGGCCAGTGGCTTCTGCTACGTCAACGACATTGTGCTGGCCGTACTAGAACTTCTGAGGTAGGTCGGACAACGGGGCGGCCGAATGATCTCCAGATTTAAATGTTCATGTAGGTACCACCCTCGGGTTCTCTACATCGATATCGACATCCATCATGGCGACGGTGTAGAGTTCGCCTTCTACCACACCAACCGGGTGATGACGGTCTCCTTCCACAAATATACTGGAGACTTCTTCCCAGGTACCGGAAAACTGGATGACAACGGTACAGGCCTCGGAAACATTTCTGCCTTAACGTGCCGCTACAAGACGGCATCGACGACAACATGTATCTCACAATATTCAAGACGGTGATCGAAGACACCGTCACTGCATTCCGGCCGACAGCGATAGTCCTGCAATGCGGTGCGGACTCCCTGGGCTGCGATCGGCTAGGTGCCTTCAACCTGTCGATTGCAGCCCACGGCGAATGCGTCAACTTCGTCCGCAAGTTCAACGTCCCGCTCCTCGTCGTAGGCGGTGGTGGCTACACCATCAAGAACGTGAGCCGCTGCTGGACGTACGAAACCTCGGTCCTCGTCGGCGCGTCCATCCCGGACGAGCTCCCTGCGACGATCTACGACTCGTTCTTCCGGGAGTCTCAGTGGAAGCTCCACCCGCCACTCACAGGTAAGGTCGAAAATCATAACACGGCGGCTTCCCTTCAGCGCATCACGATCGCGATCCGGAACAAGCTGCGGTACCTCCAAGGTGCTCCTAGCGTTGCGATGCAGGAGATCCCACCGGATCTTGCGGGCTGGCTAGAGGACGAGGCGCGGACACGAGAGGAAAAAGAGGAAGAGCGGGGAACCGCACAGGCGGGAGAGACACGAGTGGATCGCTCTGTGTTGCGCAACGAGTTCTTCGATGGGGACAAGGACAATGATGCCGATGAAGCGGACGACGAGCCCGTGGTGAAGAAGACTGCCGCCCGCAAGCCAAGGACGAGTACGGGTAGGCGGGCCAGAGGAAAGGGGAGGGCTAGAGGGGCAGCAACGTCACGTAGTGCGGCAGCAGCTGAAGACGGCGAGGACGAGGATGACGAGGATGAAGCGCCTGCACCTGTGCGGCGGACAGCCAGGCCTCGAGGTCGGGGCAGGGGTCGTGGGCGCGGGCGGGGACGCACAAGGGCTCAAGCTCAGGAGAGGGACACCGAGACGGAGAGCACACAGCTTGAGGGGGACTCCGTGCTGGACACTGAGACAGACCAGGCGCCGCAAGACCTCAATGTCGTTTGACCAGACATATGTTCTGATCTTGTGTTGGACGCGTCCAGGTGGTGAGAACAAGCTCAGCGCTGATTTTGCAACTTGTTCGCTAACTCCAGGAATGTGTCTTGGTCGAATAGGTTTCAGTTACTCACGCGTGCAAGTGGGGAAACTATGCGTATACTGGACAGCCAAACAGGAGGATACGCGTCAGCCAGCTGCATTGACACCTACAGGCTTCCACTGTAGGCTTCCGTACCGGATCGCACCCCACCTTGCAATGGTGCGGATCAAGCATTTCACAGATGAGAGCGAACGGCAGTGCTTGACCTATTACATTAAGTTACAGGTAGTTGCATAAGTTAAAGTGTAATGCATGACAGGATGTAGACGGCCCTGTGCCACCCCTGCCGGGACTGGGAGTCTATGGTTTATGGAGCGCACCTTCGCACCTAGCAGCGAAGCGACCTCGAAGCACACCACCAGCAAGGACTGGCCGACGACGTCCATCAGCGCGGAGTGGATGGGCAGCGCGTACATGTCCGGGTCGAGTTCCCACTTCCAGAAGTACTCGGTGATTCCCCGCGCGAGAACGAGGGATATCCCCACCTAGAGACGAATCACATTGTGAGCCTTGTGCATCGTTCGAAACGACACAGTACGCACCACGGTACAGTAGAAAAGAACCTCTAGGACGACGAAGATGAACGGGAGGTGAATCCAGCCGAACGCATAGATGAAGGCGAGGAATACTAGCTGGATGGGAAATCCGACAACGAGCAGTGTGGTCATCACCAAGCGTGGACTCGGGTGCGCCTTGTGGTCCGCGGAGGAGGGCAGGATCGTGATAGCAGCTGCGTGAAGCGCGGTCGACAGTCGAGAGACAAATATTGCCCCGATACTCCCTGGAAGACCTGCACGACATACACATGTATGTTAGCTTATAATCGTTCCCCCAGGGCAATAGTTCATACCAGTGATAACGACCGCAATCAACGCATAACCTCGATATCGCGAGACAAAAGTATCAAGCAGCAGCCCGGTGCCGTTGCTGATGATCATCGCAGCGAACAGAGGCCACCACCCCTGCTTCAGTAAATGACTGACCTCGGGATTTCGGCGAACAGAGAAGGCCAGTGCTACCGCAATGAGGCTCAGACAGATGACGAATATTAGGGGAAGCGGCGTGTTCTCGATGTGAACATGGAGCAGGGATACACCAGTGAGGATGGTCAATGTAAGCATATCGCCCAGGCAGCCTGCCACGGGAGGTGACACGTTGTCTGTGGAACGGACGTAAGACTGAGAAATACCGTGTTGGAGAACATGAGGCTGTCTCACCAGGGTCATACCCCCAACGGCGACATAGCACGACGAGGCCGCACATGAATGACCCCAAGAATACGCCTGAGAGCGCACATGAGCACATTGCGGCAGAAGCCACCATGATGAATCTAGGACGTCATCGCTCAGAGGCTATCGGGGTTAAAGCGGCGCGAACTCACTCTTGCGGCCCCGAAATCTTTCTACCACCTTGCGGCAATGCTACTCGTGGTTTCCTGGGCTGCAGCGATGCCAGTAACGATGTATGCACTGCTGAAGCAGTAGCATTTGCGACAGCATTGCCAGGAGTAGCGGGTGCTGTTCCAGTGGGCACTGGCGAGGCCGTTATCCGTCCAAGGATGAATACGACGCATGCTGCGACAAAAGACACAACGGCGGCTTGCACTTGTAGCAACGTCAGGTTGCCGATGATGATTTGTCGACGTGTGTCTCGTTTGTCTAGCTCTCCGATGTTAGCGGCGGTACTTAACCGCGCGGAGAGGTTCATTTCCAAGTTGCCCTTGAGATTGAGTACCACGGGAATGATCATAATGAGTTCATCCACACGGGCTAGCTCTTTCCAATGCTAAAGCATAAGTTAGCGCAGTCGACGATCAAAACATATGAGACCTCCACAACAGCTGTGCGTAGAGCCGTGATGCACAAGCATGAAAAAACACGCAGACGGTGCACGGGACAAAGCATGCCAGGGCCAGAGGGAATGGAGGCTTGGCTGGCTCGAAGCCGCCGGCCATGGGGCTTTGAGTGAGGGCAGTAGCGACATACCGAGGCAGTGGCCAACAATTCGCCAGTAAACAACAACCCTAGTGTAGTCACAAGGAGTGTAGGTGAGGTCTATCCCTCCCCAATTTTCAGCACAAGAGACATGCTGAGCATTGAGAAAGTCGTATGCGTACCTCTGTGACGAGGCTCTTGACTTGCGCCCACACTGTACCACGACGCGCAGGTGCACGCGAATCGGTCCTCCTACCCGCCCCGAGCAGCGCGAGGTCACCAGCGTCCAGGCCGTCGTCTTCACCATCAGATTCGTTCGGGTCTGGCTCGGGTATAAGGGACGACTGCCTGTGGGGATGGCGGTGAAAGTGGTCCGGATCTGGTGTCACGACCACGTCCTCGAACTCGGTGAGCTCTATGGTGTCTGAGCTGCTCCGGGATGGGAAGGGTGACCCTGCCTTGACCATGTCGGGATGAAGGTGTGCCCCAGCTTGAGCGCACTGGCCGAGGAGGATGGAGAGATCTCAGGAAGACATTGCAATGGCTGCATGCCGCTGGCCCCGGGCGTCGCGTCTCGAAATAGCCCTGACGCGCCCGTGGGAACCAGTTTCCTATTGTGCCACAACACGAATAGACGCCATCTCGGTGCTTACGGGCGCTTCTGCTACTTGCTTCCGTTCGCGACTACGCTCGCAGGCCACATCCCGTGCTGCCCTCCTCGGCCGCCCAATCCAGCTCATTCCGTCCGGATAGACTGGGGGCTGGTATCTCTGTCTCCTGTGCGCTCCAGGGCAGCCCAATCCGAACGCGCCCGGGCCATGTCACGGGTGGTGTCGCCGTACGATCCACTACCACCGATTAACTCTACATTGCTCAGGAACCCTCCGGACGCGGTTCCACCAACTGATGAGCTTGAGGGCCTTCATGCGGAATTGAAACTTTTGAGACAAAGGACCCTTGAGCGGGCCAAGAAAGCCGGTGAAGACCTCAAGATCATTGAGGAGTCTATGAGACGATTGAAAGAGAAGGAGAAGGGAAAGGCTAAGGCCTTGGAGAAGGTGAAGAAGGAACGAGGTTGTACGTACTCCTACATATGTTCCGAGGCGACATTCTCATTACATTTATTTGCGTTCTTGATATCTGTTACACTGGATTGTTGCCACTTCATGTCGGCATACACGCCCCCACCCTCCAATTCTACTTGCTGGAACTTCTCTGGTTAAATGGACACCTCGCCATACGCTGCTGTTCTTCAATACCGGTGGCGTCACTCCTTGCGCGTCTCACGACACCTCTACACTTGCTACATTCTCCGAATTACTACTGCATACTTCTCGTGCTATGTCAACTCAACTCTGCCACTACTTTGTTGTCCGCATTCAAACTCGCTTTGCTACCACTCCTCGCTCGTATCTGGTCATATTCCTACGCTCAGTCACCCCTCTCCCGAATGGCGACGATGCTGCGAAGCCGCCTGCACCGACTCAACCCATACCTCCGCGACCCCGCGTTCCTCCCCCACCACCTGTATCAGTAACACCCACTCCAACTCCCGCCGTGGAGATCCGCAAGTCGTAAGTCTGTCTGTTATGACTGCTGGACTCGTTTCTGACATTCATGTAGCGCGACTGAGGACGCGAAGAAGAAGAAGAAGAAACGGAAACGCGAGGAACTCAGCGATGCAGAGTCAGGTAAGAGGGCACAAACCGTCATGGTCATGAGTTGGCATTTAGCCTGTTTGCGTTCAGAACCTCCCAAGGCGCGCAAGACCTCACCCATGCCTCCACATACGCATCCACATCCTCCTCCTGCACATGTACCACCACCCAAACCTAATAAGTATCCATCGGCGTCCCTCGCTTTCAGCAAGGTGCGCCATGAAGCATATCATGGGGTCCGCAGACTGACGTTGTATTACAGCCGGCTAACGGGCCGGACTTCGCTCTGCCGCCACAAACCTCCCTACTACCGACCCGACCCCAGCCTCAGCCTGTTCCAATACCAGGGCCAAGCAAGCCTACTGATGTCGAAGAGGACTTCAGCAAGAGTAAAGCACCCGGCTCGCAGACTCAGATCACCACGTTCTACGCGAGCATCGAGCCGTGGTTGCGCCCTATCAAGGAGGAGGATATCGGTTTCCTGGAGTACACAGGCGATGACGTGGAGCCTTTTGTCATGCCGAAGCTAGGAAGACATTATTCTGAGGTATGGGAGGAAGAAGACACGAGATTGTACGGAGGGCCACTCTCTGGTACTGCAGCAATGCGTGCGCCAGCACGCAGTCATCCGTCAACCTCTGCTGGCCCGCTACCGCGATGGGAGCCATCCACGCTCTCGGACCCTGACTAGTGGCGGAGGAGCGCGGACATGGACCGTTGACGGAACGATTAGTCACTGCGCTTATTCCTATGCATAATGCAACGGAGTGGAAAGGCGTGAAGGCGGCGGAGGAGGCGATGGAGGGCCGGCCTGGCACGAACGGTGCTGCAGCCGCAGCTGCTCGAGATAAGCTCAATGTCGCAGATCTGGAGGACCGTGTCACCAATGTCCTGCGATTTCACGGCCTCCTCGATGAGCTTGTGCGTTGTCCGACTATCACTGTTGAGATTGAATCACTCATGTGTTTACGAACTCGTTGCGGTTGTTAGCCTAATTTCTCGGAGGCAGTGGACGATCCAATAGCCACCGCTCTGCGGCACGCACAGCGCGAGTTGCGGTCAGTGCTGGCGACGAACAAGGTCCGCCGAACCCGTCTCACCGCCATCGCCCGCGACCGGCTCGGCTACCAAGAGTACGTCGACCTGCGTGATACGCTCGACAAGAATATCACGACGCTCTACACCAAGCTGCAGAAGAAGGACGGCCCGAAGGCTAACAAGAGCAAGAAGAAGAAAGGTTCAGAGCCCAATGGGCTCCCCAACGGCGCCCCACTTACTGGTATCAGCGCGTTGCCCCCGTGTCCAGCAGCTCTCGGGTTGACGCAGGACGAGGAGAACCGGCTGAGCGTCCCAGAGCAGCTCAAGCGGCTCGTGGATACACGACAGCAGTGGGTGGAAACCATCGGCGGGGTGTTCGAGGAGAAGGACAGGGAACAGCCCGGGCGAATATGGGGCTTCCCGAAGTCCAGCGTGTACGCCGACATCGAGGAGGATGTGCGGCAGGAGACGGCGCGTTTAGGGACACCCTCAGCGCCGAGTTCCAGGCCACAGCCTGACGTAGGGCGGCCGTCCGCTAACGGTACCGACACACGGACTACTAGTTATGGCGGCAAGGGTAAACAGAGAGCGTCGGGGGACTACATGGATATCGGTTGATGCTCGGCTCATGTCGGAGACACGGCAGGACGGACATTGGATCCAGACTATCACATTATTCCTATTATTGCTACTTGTGCCCGGGAGTGGTCTACGCACGCTATCTGCCAATCCATCGTCTGCTCTGCTGCTGACCATCATACGAGTGAAAGGAACGGTGGAATCCCAGTGAATCGGCTATGAGGCGGTTGCCTTGGATTTCTTAGATTTCTTCGACACTCCATCACCTTTCCGCTTCTTCTTTGGGGGGCCGTCCTTAGTTTGCGAGACACTGACGGGCACGACGTCCAGGTCAACGTCCATTGCGTCCGGTGCACCGGTAGACGCGAGTGAGCCCAATGGCATGAAGCGATGTTTGAGGACTTCTAAAGGATACCGAGGCCGTGGCGGGTTTTTGTATAGTGTATCTTCAGCATCATTGGCATCCGCTACTGGTGTAGGCGCCTCGGGCTTCGCGGTGACAACAATATGTCTCGCGATAGGTTGAGGTGCTGATAATAGCACAAGCGGACTCAGTGAAAATCCACCGATACGAGCTGTGAGCTAGACGTGCCTTGGTAGAGCTTCCCTCCCTTGTCCTTCCGAGGCAGTAAACAAGACAGCCGTTTGAGCTCCTCGCCGCCTACATGGTCGGACACCGAATCTCCCAGAGACCAGATATCATATGAGGCATGCTTGCGGTCAATACCGCCTATACGTGATGTTTTTGATGCCGAAGGAGACTCGAACTTGATGCCTTGAAGGTGTTTCGCCTTCAGCTACATTGAAATTCAACCGCGGTAAATAGTAAAAGGACGGAGTGGCTTACACCTTGCGGCACTCGGATCAACCACAGCTCTACGTCCTCGTCCTCGTTTACCGCATCCCAGTCAAACTCTCCAGCATCGACTGAAAGGTCTACGGGCACTGCGCCAGGAGGAGATTGGTATGCATGATTCGGATCAGTGCCTTCGTTCTTCCCGTGAGCAGAAGCAGCCGGTTTCGACGACGACTCTGCGATAGCCTTCTTCTTTCCGGCCTTTGTGGTAGTCTTCTTAGGTTGTTGCACTGCAACCTCGCTTCCAGATGACGACTCAGAGTCACTCATGTCGGTAGATAGAGGGCAGAAAGGATGCCAATTCGCTGCGAACGCTTGGTTCAGTGCCAGTGTCCGGGGAGAACAGGATATTCGTACCAAGACGGTGGACAGTCGAACCCGGCAGTCTGCCTTCGATACTCTGCGTGCGGCGCTGCGAGTCGTATCACGGTAGGAGCGGGCTAACAAAATGTTCCAGTCCACTCAAAGTGCCCACTGCACAACCGTGACTTTGTGCATGCTTCTCGATCGCTCCGGTGAGCGTCTGTAACACGTGCCCCTCTACGGACAGGTCTTGAAGCAACTGCCATGGTATGTACAACGTAATGTTGAAATTTCAGGAAATCTGATACAGATACGAACGCATAACTACAAAAAGACGGATCCTGTATGCGCGGTGTGAAGAGGAATCTGGACTGTCCGCCACATATTCATCGTCTTCAATCCAAGTCTTTAACGTTAACGTTTAACCTTCAGCCACGGTGACACCGTCCCAACAACCATCCAACAGATCCTGCGATGAAAGCAAACAACACAAGTGCATCACATCAGGAAACATGCGACTGATCAGGAACCAAGAGTGGCGATTCTACGAACGGCTGTTGACCAGCGAGTACGGCCCGGGGAGGTTGAAAGCCACAACCAGGGAGAGAAGAAATATGGGTGTGCGTGGGGGAGCAGGCGAGCATGGTGTGCGATTGATCTGCCACGAGCATGGTCCTTTCGCGGTGTCCTGCCCGCAACAGTCGAGGTGGCTCAACGCGGGGGTGTGACCGGGAGGCGTTCTTGCATGCGCACTGCGCACGCGCGTGTGGCATGAGCGTGTCTTCAGTGCTCACGCCGCTGAGTACTCACTCACTACTCAGTCGTCATGCAAAGCAGGCCGGCCAGTCGAATGCCGATCGCGGCGTCCTGTGTTCGTGCAGCATCTCCCACAATATCACTCACGAAGACTCAAACGCCCATGATCACCGTGCGTGGGGCGGACAGCCTCGAGGCCCTCAACCGATTTTCATCAACTCCCAGCTCGGACGGCACACCTGATATAAAGGCTCATACTGGGCCCTTCTGAGCCATGTCCGCACTTCTCAGACTTGAAGCATGGCGACAAACACCACTGGCCCGGGCGTTCTCGACGACTCTCAAAGGTACGAACATCCATTCACCTTGCAAGGCGACTGGGAAGCCCGCCATGTACCGAACAGTCCACTCAAGAAACACGTCCCGCGTACCCTCATTGAATATCGCATGTGTGCACTCAGCGCAGCCATACGCGATAAGCCCGATTGGCACATCAAATTCCACGACGAGACCATTAGGGAGAAGTGGAAGAAGGAAATTCGAGAGCAGCAAGTGCAGATGCATCCGTGCTTGCAGCTCACCGAGAATATGGTACGCACGCTTTAGACCGTACTGTAACGCGGTCATCCATGTTCAGCGTAGATCAACTACATTTTTGGTGAGTTGGAAGCGTATGCCTCCCTTCGTGACCCAGAGACCGGCATTCAGGTGAGTCTACACAGTCATGACAAGTGGGCGTATTCCGATGCGCCATGAAAGCCCGGTCCCTACGAGCGGATATGGCAGTCGGACCAAGTCATCCCCGCGTCTCTGCGAGCTGCTGTCATCTCTGCCGCGGCAGCTCTTGAGTCTGTGCCCGACGACAAAAAGGACTGGCATCCGGGTTCCGACGAGAAAGTACTCGACCTCGTCCACCCATCTCTTTACCCCGTCATCTACGGACGCACCGTCTCTAATGCATCTGGAATCCCACTCGTGCCGCGGCCGTCTTCTGTCAAGAAGATGTTCATCTCGGAGCGCTTCCAATGGTTGCCTTCGGACTTCGACGTCGCGGACGACGGTACTGTCACGCTCGCGTCGCCATACATCAACAACATACACCCGGAGGACCACAAGCCGCTTATGGACGTGATCCCGAAAGTACTCGAGAAAGCAGTGCCGATGTTCGAATGGGTGCTCTCTGAGCTCGCACGGCAACACCAGCTCCCGACGCGGCTCGACTACGGCGGCAAGGGTCTTCTCGGATGCATCTGGGCAGGAGGCGTGAGCGTCGTCTCTTTCATTTGACAACCTACGCACGCTCATCATTCCTTCCGTCTCTCAGCGGGAGCCGCAGCCAGATGACAAGGCTATGCAAGTCATTTACTCTAAAGCCGGCGTCTTGTATGATGTTGTATGGAAACCTTGGGTAGCCGAGCGCGACCGCTGGCAGGACGCTGCCTACGCCCGCTGGAAGGAGGAGCACCCCAATGACGACGTCGAGTATGAAGCACCGGAATATGAGCCGTTTCCGGATCGGGGCTACTTCAGTCGATCTTATGGTAAATGGCTCGACACGCTGCCGCACACCTGGCCGGACAGCAAGCCGGCGTATGAGGATGGGCTTGTGACGGTTAAAAAGACGGTTGGTCTGAAGGGGAGACGGTTGCAGGTGATAGTCAAGTTGGCGAATATCGTGTTGACGCCGGAGAAGCCGCAATATGGAGGTGGAACATGGCATGTGGAAGGTTAGTTCGATTTTAGGTTTGGGCGAGACATCGAGACAGACTTTTTGATGACGTGACAGGCATGGACAATGAGGCGATCGTGTCAACATTCATATATGTACGTGACTTTAACACTTACCGTAACGCACTACCACTCAACATCCTTACAGTATTACGATTGCGAGAACACCACTGAGTCTACTCTGTCTTTCCGCACCGCGACGCAAGAGCCGGACTATCATAACCAATACGATTATTACTGCCTGAAGCACCTATATGGCATTGACAGGCAAGTCTTCTTCAACTGTGATTATGGAGCACCAGCTGACACCTTGTCAGCGACGAGCTTTGCGTGCAAGTCGTCGGACGCGCGGTGACGAAAGAACACCGCTGCCTCGCTTTCCCAAACATCTACCAGCACCTCGTCTCGCCGTTCCACCTCAAGGACAAGAGCAAGCCGGGCCATCGCAAGATCCTCGTGTTCTTCCTCGTCGACCCCAACATCAAAGTGCCGTCCACGTCCGACATCGGCCCACAGCAGGAGGGGTGGATTCGAGCCGCTTTAGAAAGCACGCAGCTGTGGCAGAGGCTGCCCTCGGAGCTGCGTGAATCGGTTTTGGAGAGATTGGGTGCGGTGACGGAGGAACAGGCGAAGAAGTATAGAGAGGAGCTGATGAAGGAGCGGACGGCGTGTTTGCAGACGGTGGATGGACAGAGGTTCGGGAATCTGTTCAATCTGTGGTGGGTCGTGTTTATTCCTGCGTGAGTGCCGGTATGTTGACGGGATATTCTTAGTGAGCATTGAGTGTGGCGGGAGGCCAAGCCGCACCAACGCGAGACCTCCATCAGTGAGGCAGCGGGGTGTTGTACCCCTGCTCAAGCGTACCACACCAATACTCCTGTACTTGCCTCTATCCGATTCCGACGCGCTGTATTGCCATGACAGTCTGTCATTATACACATCGTCTGACATTGTAGCGTGCGAGACGTGGCAATATGGTCATTCATCACAGATGCCTTGGCAGAATACACGTACACCTCTTGTAGGTCCAACACCATCCGAGTACCAGTCAATCCAAACATTTCGGTGGACACCCCACGCATCAGTGTTCACTGAAGGACAGGCGCAAGAACGAAGTCAGAAGGGCGGCGCATACATATCACGCTGAGGACAGAAGCCCACGCACCACAGGTTGAACGTTCGCCCGAACCTCTGTTCATCGGCCGGCTTCACGGTCAGCGTGCGCTCCTTCATGAGCTCCTCCCGGTACTTCCTCGCCTGCCCCTCCGTAATCGGGTCCAGCCGCTCCCAGATCATCTCGTGCACCTCATTCGGAAGCCTCCACCATAACTCTGACCCCTCCACCGCGCGACGGATCCATGGCTCTTGCTGCGGAGACACCGTGGACGCAGACGGGATGGTGATGTTTGGGTCGACGAGGAAAAACACGAGGATCTTGCGATGCCCCGGCTTGGCGGGGTCGGTCAGGCGGAATGGCGAGACGAGGTGCTGGTAGAGGTTCGGGAACGCGATGCATCGGTCCTGCTTGGTGGTGACGCAGCCGACATTCTGGGCGCACAACTCGTTTCTAGATAGGAACTCGTAAGCTGTCTGTAGAGGGAGGCGGGCTGGAAGGCGTACGCTGAGATATCGTAGAGACGGCGCATGCAGTAGCGGTCCCATTGGCCATGGTACCGGGGCTCGTTGACGGCGTTGCGGAAGGACAGGGTTGATTCGGTGATGTTTTCTGTATCGTAATACTGGGTGCGATGTGAGTCAACACGCACGACGTCGCAGGGCCATAGATGCCATCACGCACATAGATGAACGTGGAGACGATCGTCTCGTTGTCCATCCCTGCATTTGATAGAAGGCATCAGCAGCGAATGTAGTGCGCCGTGCCAGCTCGACTTACCCTCGACGTGCCACGTCCCTCCCCCATACTCAGGCTTCTCAGGCGTTAGTACAATGTTCGCCAGCTTCACGATCACCTGCAGCGTCTGCCCTCGCAAATCCACCGTCTTCTTCACGCAATTGAGGCCATCCGTATAGCTCGGCTTGCTCTCCGGCCAGCGGTGCTCCACCGGCGCATTGTCCAAAAACTCTTCTTGCCACATGCGCAAGTACGGGACGTGCACATAAGGCGGGAACGGCGGTTCCTGCCACTGCTCGTCCTCCGAGTCGCTGGAACGATTCGCTAGCCATGTCACGTGTGCTTCCTCTAGGAACTGAGCCTTCTCCGCTTCCCAGTGTCTGCGGTCCTCTGCCAAGAGCTGCCTGTATATTCTATAGTTACGTGAGCTTATCTCGGGGTCCATTTCGGGCTCGGTCTAGATGAGTGTGAACGGGCACGGTCGAGGATGATGAAGCGAAAGGAACTGACTTCAGGACCCTCTGGCCAGACACACTGGGGGAATTTGTGCCCCTGGAGGTCTAGCCGTGTGGGGAGCTGTGTCTCTCTCGCAAGGTCGGAGAGCACCCTCTCGAACAATGGCACGGCCTTCTCCAACATTTCCGGGATCATCGCTGTGAGCGCCTCGTGATCTTCCGGGTGGATATTGTTGATGTATGGCGAGACCAAGTGGACGGAACCATCCTCCTGGACACGAAATTCCGAAGGCAGCCATTGGAACCGCTCCGACCTGTACATAGGAATGATATCCGTTGCGCGGGGCTGGAGGGGCTCCTGAGCGCCGCGGGCTGTGGTACGTCCGTAGACGACGGGGTACAGCGAGGGGTGTACGAGATCGAGCACTTTGCCATCGGATCCTGGATGCCAGTCCTTCTTGGAGTCAGGGACAGACTCGAGCGGGGCGATTGCTGAGATGAGGTCGGCTTTGAGGAGGCGGGAATGAGCTGATCAGACTGCCAGATCGCTCATAGGGACCACCTGTAATGAGCATGATCAAAAGGCTTTGTACATGGGTTACGCCGACCGACCTCGATGCTGTCTCTGGGTCGCGAAGGGCCGCATAGGCTTCGAGCTCGCCCATGATGTAGTTGATCTATGACGCCCTCTTCACCCGCCCTCGCGAACCCCCAGTAAACGCACCATGTTGTTGTGAGCTGTAGACTGCGACGCAGATCCTGCTGCTGTTCCTTGATCTCATTTCTCCACTTGCCTGCACGTCCTCGTCCCGAAATTTCACCCACCACTCCGGCTTCTCGCGAATGGCCGCGCTCAGAGCGCACATGCGCAGCTCGATGAGCGTGCGCGGCGTGTCCTTGTCTGTAGGGTCGTCGTCCTCCATAGTGTAGTAATCCCATTCCGGGTTTTCTGTGAACGGGTGCATGTATCGCTTGCGTGTGCTCAGCTGATTAGCAGGACTCCGTTGCTGTCACTTGAGGCCATGATTGAAGCGGTTGTACGAAATGAGAGAATCCTTTTTGCACCTACAGCAAGGCAGGATAAAAGCGATCAGGTACCGGGGGGCAGTACACTCCGAGTCAGCACAAGCATCGGACACGCTGAGACTATGTATCATTGGATATAAGCCCTAGGCTGGCACCGCCACGAGATCATGTACGTACCCAACTGAAGACGTACACCAGATTTGCGCCCACGGTAACACTGATAATCAGGCTTCGGTTGCAAGAGCTGTACGGCTCGTCTGACGAAGACCACGATAACCGTGCATCGCCGGCGCACCGCCGCATGATTGCAGTGCAGTCAGGGTGACCAGGGTGGTTGGAAGAGAAGACTTCCGCGTGGACAGAGCCGGCTTCTTGAAATGTCGCCCATGGAGTGTCGCTACTGTTGGCGGATGCTGTATGAGGGCGTGTGGTCCTCACCATCTCCTACGTGAAGAAGAGGTTAGACGCATGTACTGACGCCGGCGGGACGCCGTAAGACGCGGTGTGGTGTTGCAATTGACCATCGCGCCACAGTGGACGTCGTCACTCGTCGTTGTAGTGTTGAGAGGTTCGACTCATCTCAGCTACACGCTGCTATAAGCACCCAAACGTTCAACGTTCAGCGGAGTACTGTGGCACGAATGTGGCAAGTCGTGCTATGATCGACCGGTCCATCGTACTCTACGGAGCAAGCAGTGTATCATCATGATAGCGACTATGGTATGGGCGAAGTATGGGTACCAGAAAGTCGACTCACCCGATCTACGCCGTTGAAGATGCAATGCCCGATGTTATGTCTGCAAGCAACTGCTTCGTATGTGGGTAAGAATCCTCAGTGTTGAAGATCTTCCCCTGCTTGAGCTGATTCATTGAGTAGGATTGAGACATGTCGTGGCAATCGCCGTTGGAGGGGCAACTTGACTCTCACATGCGACGTGTTTCACGCCACAAGCGGTGATTGGTACTATTTACCAAAGGCTTCGTCCCTGAGCGCTTGAGCACATTTCCCGATCGGGCTATGATCGGGATCGAGACTGGCACCGTGGTAGTACGGTGGTACCACTGACAGGTGGCACCTCCGACCGTTCGGACTCAACTTCAAGTGGGTATTTATGTTTCCTCTGTGCCAGAATAGGTGCTGAGCGACCGCTGGGAGCAAAACCCGTTTCCCACATCGTGCCCTTTATCCCTCCCGATTCTGTACCCCAGTCTCGGCTGAGGGTTCTCGCCGGGTTCTCGCAATTGCGATGCTGGCTGGGGACCATCCCCGGGGTGCGTGCTTCAGCGGGTGCGCGGCTGTGCGCGGAAGCTTACAAATATAGTAGTCTAGGGAGGCTCGAGTCAAAGTTGCAAATACAAGTACTATTAATCCCCATCCGGCCCAGACACGCAACTCTCGCCTCCTCCCATCTCGTGTGGAGTCCTCAACGAGAGCTGCCTCCGCCTCGAATCACCTCCATCGCAAGCTGGGTGGCCACCGCATCCGGTTACTAATTTCAGCAGCCTACACCGCCCCTGCCTATCTAACCACTAGCCTGAGGCTGTGCGGGCATTGTACAACAGGCGGACATCAGAAGCCGCCCAGCTTGTGGACTGTCTGTGCACCCCTCGTACTTATCGGACCCGGCGCGAAATCCTCCCTCTTTACCATACACGTTCACCACGCCATGTCGGACTCCAGCCGCAGAGCGAACGTGAATGCGGCACAACGCACGGCGGAGCAAGGCGACCCGGCGCACCCGTACACTGGTTGGTCACGGTGCTGGCCTTGCCACAAGAAAACCTTCAGTGCAATAAGTGCGTCGCTGCGCCGGCTTTTCTTCGCCGCCCTCGCTTAACGAGTTTTCGCTCTGCAGCAAGCGGCCCTGCTGGCCGTGTCAACTGCGAGGTTCATCGTTTTGGCCCGCTGATGATTCATAATGAAGCTGACAACACGTGTCGAACCATCTGCAGGGCACGAGACCGCCTGCTGCGACACAGGATACGAGGAACTTGAAATCAAAGGCGTCAATCCGCTTCAGCCATCGCTTCAAGCTTATGCACGCAGCAAAGCATGCCGGAACCTCGTTCAATCACTAGTGAAGGCTGATGCGTCCCTTGCGGAATTTAGCGCCACGGCTGGTGAGATACACGCCACCTTGGAGGTCCTGCAGGCGGCGATGTCTTCGGAGCAAGGTATCTGGGCGGTGAAAGACTGTGCAGAGGCCGGTCATCACAGAATGATTGTGAATCTCCTGGATGCGGTGAGTGACCCTGATGGTTCTCTGTGTCATACGCAAGCATCACATAAATCCACGCCGCTTGTGACCCCGCACAGATATTGGAACAAGTTGCTCCCCAGTCCCGCCGATACACCACAGTATTCCATGCCCTTCGCAAGTTGTGCGCACAGCATGGCCACGTCCCAGATTCATTGATCCTGCCACGGGGTACGGTTGTCCTGAGTGGTCAAGGACTGGTCACACAGGCCGACCTGAGCCACATGCAAGTGGCGGGTGTGCGGACATTTATCGGGGAAGGTGGAAGAGGCAGGTTGTCGGGATTAAGGCTCTGAGGCTTTCAGTCGTGAGTCTTCTGTTGAGGTATTGAAGGTACGTCTGGCATCTATGTTGTGCCAGGACGATTGCCCGCAGATAACTCATCGACATTACCAGAGATACGCTAAGGAGGCGACGATCTGGAGGCGTCTAGCGCATCCGAATATTACACCCTTCTACGGAATCGATACTGAACACTTCAAGATTAGTATGGTATATAAATGGATGGCGCACGGCATATCATCGAGTTTTTGGGCACAGTTCGAGAAGCCAGCCGCCCACATTTGGTGAATTATATCATACAACATTGATGCCGCTCTTCAACGCTGATTCTGTGTGATTGTGATTAGCTCCTGGATATCGCCGCGGACTTGGATATCTTCATTCAGATAGTGTTGGCATTGTCCATGGGACCTCAAAGGTGTAAGTATTACATAATACTAGCATTACTATGCGCACTCATCAGAGAGAAGGCAAATATCCTTGTAGACGAGCACCACTGTGCTTGTCTTTCGGATTTCGGGGTCTCTACTATTATATACGAAACCTCTACCACACTCAATACGGTCACTCAGCCGTACAATTTCAAGTCCACGCTTCGCTATATGGCTCCGGAGATCCACGACCCTGAATGATTTCTTGGGGAAGAAGTTGCGAAACCATCTAGAGAGAGCGACGTATACTCATACTCCTTGGTGATGTGGGAGGTACGTTGTAACATATCATCCTGCCATCTGATCGGCTTAATATAGAGCCAAGTAGATATTCACGGGAGAAATGCCGTACCAGAGCAGTTGGCACGACGGGGCCATTATAAACAAGATCGTCAATGGTGCACGACCTCAGCGTCCGCCCGATGCTACGCGTCTTGGGCTATCTGACACCATCTGGCGTATCATGGGGAAGTGCTGGAACGAAGTTCCTTCCACAAGACCATCCATACTGGAGGTGATCTACGACCTGGAACATGAGTGGAGCTCGTGGTTCCGTCGCGGGGTCTCACTGATGCAGAGAAGGAGGCGGTCGCGGGTGCGGTAGGTTCGACACAAACCCCTCACATGGAGGGTCTTGGTAGTATGAGACTACTAGCGAGTGCGGTCGAGATGTACGACAAGCGCATGTGGACGGCCCGCGCCGTTCCCGCACTGTGGTAGTATTCGTCACATTTGAGCAGACCCTAGTATCATTGCACGAGTGAGAGGAGAGGCAGGCGAAGCAAGAGAGAAGCTCCGAGAGAGTCAGACGGGACAGCGTACCAGACTGACATGCACTGGTCACCTGGCAAGCGTTACAGCTGGTTCCCGTCCCTCCGTCCTCGCAGCTGCACCCAGTGATGTTTGGGAAAAAACCTGAAGACCAGTCCGCCAGAGAACGCCCCGACCCCTGGAATATGTTCTCCCCACACGCGGGCGATGCGCAAGCAAGCTGCAGGGGCCAGGACAGTTGACGGTGTTTGCGGGGTAAACGCGATCGTGGCGATCGAGATCTGCACGCGTCAAACACGTGAGAGCGCGCGCCCCGCGTCCTCCGAGTGGGAAGAGGTGGGAAGGTCACTGGCCCCGCACAGAGTGTTTGCTGCGTCCTTGCATGCGGGTCCTACAGCCAGAGCGACGTGGCTATGGTTACTGCGAGTTTCACGCCAGCTCTCAATGCATCGTAGATGTCATCGGAAGGAAGAATCACCGTGTCGCCGTAGTTCGCGCAAGTCGAGGTGATGCTCTTGTGGTGTGGTGTTCAAGCTAGCACCCACTCACACTGCCGCCTTGGCCCTACCGCGCCCGAACAGGGACCATCCTGGCCTAGAAACCAACATTTGTATGTGGCGGCCGAGACTCTTGGTGCGAGACTGGGATGGTCCTCGCCCTTGCGAAACGGATGGCGGAGATTGGCAACATGAGTCGTGCCAAGGTCCAGGCACACCGCACGATCGAACAGACCGTCGAGTGCAACGAGCCGTGTGCTGGGCGGGGGTCAAGCGAAGTTCTGATGAGTACATTCTCCACCCGTTGGTGAGTATATATACTCCTGTGGTGTGCAGCGCTCTCACTCACAGTCGACCCTCTTCTTGTCATCCTCAGGCTATACGACGGGTCAATTTGATGCGGCACATCGACCGCAGTGTCACCGCTGGTACCGTGCGTCCTATCGCTGCAAGGCGAATTGTGCTCAGGGGTGAGAGCAGATTGCTGAATGCTGCTATCCTTCATCCCGATTCTCCGGTCTGACAGCGTATGAAAGACGTTCGAGGCTCGAGTCCGAGTCCTGATTGTCCTGGACCACACTGAGACAGGCAGAGGCTGACCCAGCCGTCGACGACACGGTAGGGGCGAGGATGTGTTGACGCGGAGAGCGGTGTGGAAGTGTGGCCTGTCGCAGGGTGGGATGTCCGCGCAGGCCGGAGGAGGCTCGGGCAGGCGGCGGGGAGCCCCGGAGGACGATGGGGAGGAACGTGCGCTGATAGCATCGAAGGCTTGGCGCTGCGCGACGTGACGGTCACGTCGCACCGGACCGAGTCACGGGGAGGGTGACGGAGGTGGCCTGTGTGGACTCCACTGGCGAGACTCACGTCGACGACTCCTGCCCGGCCCTGCGCTGGCGACGCTGCCCTTGTCTTCTCTCTGCCATGGTTCTCTGACCCGACTCGCACTTTCAGGATCTCTTTCTCCTCCCCAGCCCCGGTTCTGGACACCCTACAAGCTCCGGACATCCACACCATCTCGGGCATATTTCTTTGGTCAGCGAGCCCGTGTACCCCCGCTGCCTCGCAAACTTCTCTCTCGGAGTGGGGATAGACGGGACGGTTTCGGTTGGTTGACATACCCTACGCTCCCTTGCCTTCTTCGCTTCTCCCTGTAAAACCTCCCTCTCGCACCCGCCACTCTCCAATCTCCTCCTCGCTTCCGCGACCATGTTGGCCAGCTGGAGCGGGCACCTCAGTCCGTCCCCGTCGACGGACAGCAACTCGACGCGGTCGTCGCACCTCAGCCTGCTATCCTCCGCCTCATCGATATCATCCCCACCCTCGGCACCGTCGCCGCTTCCCTCGCCGTCGCCATCTATCGCATCTATCGGCAACAAGACACACGCGTTCTTCGGCTCGCCCTGGGAAGGCTCGCCCACGCCCATGCCGCCCCCGAGTCTCCACAAACGGTCTCTCAGGTCTAAGGCGTCCACGAGCTCGATTACGTCCCAGAGCTCCAGCTCCGCATCCAATCGTCCGACAACGGACACGGCGCACACCCCGACGAGACGCCCCGGATGCCCCAGGAGACCCCGCGCATCGAGCAACGTGTGGTGCCCAAGCGCTCCCTCAATGAAGAGTTTTTCGGGCCCTCGACCCTGCCCACCCCACCTCCTACCTCTGCGCGGCTCCTGACGCCGTCCATCTCCTCGCGCGAGAGCTCCTACTCTCCGCCCAGCACACACCGGACCCTCCCTCCCTCTGCGATATCCCGCCTCTTTCCTTCCCGCCGACGCTATGCCTCCGAGGACAACGAGCCCCCAGAGCTAGAACCTACGCCCACTCACCGTAGGGAGTTCCTGCAGCTCGATACGGATACGGCTGCTCCGTCCTATGCGGACGCATTCACTGCGTCGCCCGCAGTAGCACAATTCCCGATACCGAAGGTACATCCGGACTCGTCGAACATGCCGACACCGCTGCCGCATCCTACAGAGCACGAGCGGACGTCATTCATTCCGTCAGAACGCAATACGAAGCCGCTCCCACCCGTACCATTACTCTCCGTGCAGCCCGACCCCGTGGTGCTCGAGCAGGGAACAGTGCTGCGAAGCACGTCCTTATCAGTACGGCTGGAGCGCGTGCTGGGCCAGGGTGCGTTCAGCAGCGTGTGGCTTGCCAGTGATCTCGAGGGACAGGTCGGTGTGCTCGAGCTGTCGCGGAGGACTAGTCTACTTCGGAGTAAGAGCCAGAAGCGTGGGCGACGCTTAGAGGGGACAAGACCGAAGGCGAGTGGTATCCGCGCAAAGGGACCCGTCCCTATGCAGCGGGAGAAGAGGCTGAACGTGCATGAGCGGGTGGAGAGCGAGGAGAGCGTGACATTGCGCGACGTGGACGCGACGCCGAGGCCGGACGAGATCGCGGCGGCGATGGGGAGGCAGCAGGAGGGGCGGCTGGTCGCGGTGAAGATGACGGAGCGGACGATGTGCGAGAAGAACTCGCGCTCGAGGGTGAGCTTCGTGCGCGAGGTTGAAATCCTGCGGGTAAGTCCACAGCCTCCGCCGAGTGCCTTGGCCCCGCGCTCGCGCAGATCGGTGACTTACTGATCCTGTGCCCAGCATATCGCACACCCGTCCATTGTCTCGTACGTTCACTCGTTCAGCACGCCGGCGCAACATTGTCTCGTGCTGGAGTATGTCGGTGGCGGCGAGCTGTTCGACCTGATCGGCAACCCCGAAAGCCACGCGCGGTTGGACGAGCCCCTCCTCAGACGGATGTTCGGTGAGCTGTGCAAGGCCGTAGGCTGGATGCACGGAGTCGGACTCGTCCACCGCGACATCAAGCTTGAGAGTACGTCCTCCATCTACTCTCCCCTGTCCGACTCACCACTCACTCACTCCACAGACATCCTTCTCACCACTTACCCGTTACCTCCACCCTCCCCGCGGCGCCCGCCTCACTCATCAAGCTCTCGGACTTCGGCCTCTCGCGGTTCATCGACCCCGCAAAGCCGCTGCTCACGACACTCTGCGGCTCCGAGTCGTACGCGGCACCGGAGCTCGTCACCGGGCGGCCCTACGACGGGCGCGAGACAGACGCGTGGGCGTGTGGCGTGGTGCTGTACGCGCTCGCGGCGCGCCGTCTGCCCTTCGATCGGGTGGTGTCACGTGAGCGCGAGGAGGGGTGTGATGGGGAGGGGAGAGGCCCGGCGGTGAACAGCAAGGCGGAGCGCAGGGCGCTGTTGATGCGCATCGCGAAGACGGAGTATAGCTGGCCTGAGGACGACACCAACGCGGTTGGCGAGACCATACTCGCGGGGGCGCAACTCGCGCGGAGTGCTGGCGTGCGCAGGGTGGTCGAGCGGTTGCTTGTGCGGAATCCGGCCAACCGCGCGAGGATTATCGACCTGTGGGAAGAAGAGTGGATGCGTGGCGAAGGCGCGCCGTTCGTGCCCCAGGGCGTCACGCACGGGGACGTAGGAGACGCGTTGGCTGATGCGGATGCTACGCCCGTACCGGCCCAGATCGTCGATGCGCACTGTGACGCGGACGTGGAAGACGACGACGGCCTCATCGTGGATGAGCAAGACATTGGACCGGGCAGCGTCGCACACCAAGAGCACTAGCCCGTGCGCCGGGGACCCCGCCTACTTACTGTGACACGACAGCCCTGGTACTCGCCAGGGCGCATATGACGACTTCTCTGTAGATATCTCTCGTCCCCTTTTGTCCAAGTCGCTTGATGCAGCACTCGCTTCTAAGCTATAACGTGCCCCTACTGTTGTTGTGCCAATAGCGGTTGGTTCCCTTTCATGCCCCGGTGCCCAGTGCCCGCCCTCCGCTCGTTACCCTCTTTGGCCTCACCCTCTGTCCATTAGCTGTCTCATATGTTCCACGCGCACATCACCCACCCGTCGTCGATTTCATCTATGCGCCCTGTCTGCCTACAGTCGCTGGTATTAGTAACGTACGGTTTGGCTTACATTATTGTCGTAGGGCCCCTGGGTAATGCAGTGGGCGTCGCGATCTTTGACTTGTCTGTCTGTCTTGCCGACTCCTCTCGTCTACATATTTTCTGTTGTTTGGCGTTCGATATCCGTGTCGGTCCTCTGGTTTGTACGTGCTCGTGTAGCTCACCTAGACATATCGCTAGAACCTCAACTGTACTTTCAATATATTGTATGCTCTGTGTATGTGTACACGCAGCGTGGCTGAGGCGAAGACGTCTTTCATACGTCCTTACAGTCTACTCACCGATCGGGAGCGCTTTGCGCAGGAATTCATGTCGTCGCTGTATCGTGTGACATACTTGACGTCGAATCGGTTTTGACTGGCTCAGATGCGTCAAATTACGACGGCCTGCAGCACAGACAGTGACATTGCGCATTAGGCATGTTACTTAGCATCCAACAGATGTGGGTACACAACAGCGAGTACATCATGATATGGACCGATCTTACTCGACGCTTTAGCGTACGCGAAGAGGACCTACGGAGCGGAATGCCAGTTAAATGCCACCCCTTCATGTCGCACTTGCCCTAGCACGATCTTGCTGACTGCACCAAGCCCTCATCGACTCAATGCTCACTATGGAGGCACACGACATCAGTGTGCGAACTATGGCCGACCGCACACTCAAAGCCACGCACCACAGATTGAACGTTTGCCCGAACCTCTGTTCATCCACTGTCTTCACGATCAGCGTGCGCTCCTTCATGAGCTCCTCCCGATACTGTTTCGCCTGTTCCTCTGTCAACAGATCCAGCCGCTCCCAAACCATCTCTTGCAGCTCGAATGGGAGCCTCCACCAGAGGTTCGTGCTCTCCACTGCCCGGCGGATCCACGACTCTTGCTGCGGGCCCACCGTCGTCGCTGACGGAAGGTGATGTTCGGGTCGACAAGGAAGAAGACGAGGATCTGCGGTGGCCTGGCTTGGTGGGGTCTACGAGGCGGAAGGCGAGACGAGGTGTGGTAGATGTTCGGGAAGGCGATACACCGGTCTTGCTTGGTTGTGACTTGGCCGACGGTTTGCACGCAAATCTGGTCACTGGAAGCGGCGAAGATGACATGACAGTTAGATGAAAGGCATGATGAACAACGCACACGTTGATGTTGTATAGATGCTGCATGCAGTAGTAGTCGAATTGTGCATGATAGCGCGGCTCGTTAACTGCGTTGCGGAAAGACAGGGTCGAGTCGGTGATGTTTTCTGTGTCATAGTACTAGGTGCATTGTCAGCGCAGAATTGCGGCAGCACGCGAACGCGAGCGCCCACATATATGAACGTAGACACTATCGCCTCATTGTCCATCCCTGAGTTATGTAGGGAGGCTGAAGTCAGAAGCGCTTGTAGTGTGTCGCATGATCCGGCTCGCCTTCTACATGCCATGTCCCACCGCTATACTCTGGCTTCTCGGGTGTCAGGACTATGTTAGCCAACTTCACGATGACATGGAGCGTTTTCCCTCGCAAATCAACTGTCTTCTTCACTCCATCCAGTCCACCATCGTAGCTCGGCTTGCTATCCGGCCACAGATGTTCTGCCTGTGCACCCAACCACTCATCCAGGAGTTTTACGAAATAGTTGACTTCCTTGAACTCCGAGTACGGCGGCTCCACCCACTTCTCGTCTTCGCTGGGACAAGTAGCCAGGAAAACATCCCACTCGTCGTCCAAGAACTTATCCCTGCCGGCTTCCCACACCTTGCGGTCCTCAGCTCGAAGACGGTCGTGCTCTGCGATGAAGCGCAGCCTTGTGTCCTCATCCAAGTAAGGCTCGTGCTGGTAGAGTGAGCACGGCTTTGATGACTATGAGAAACGACACGTACGCCATTCGGCCAGACGCAACCCGGGAACTTACGCCCCTTCAGGTCAAGGCGCGTAGGGAGCTGCGTTTCTCTCGCCAAGTCAGATAGGATCCGCTCGAACATTGGAACCGCCTTCTCCATGATATGGGGATGACCTCGGTGAGCGCCTTGTGGTCTTCTGGGTGGATGTTGTTGATGTATGGCGAGGCCAGCTTCACTGTGCCATCCTCCTCGACGTGGAAATCCGAAGGGAGCCACTGGAAGCGTTCCGATCGGAACATAGCAGCGACGTCCGTCGCGCGGGGCTGGAGGGTCTCCTCAAAGCCGCGTGTCGTGGTACGCCCGTAGACCACAGGGTAGAGCGATGGGTGGACGAGGTCGAGACTTACCATCTGACCCTGGATGCCAGTCCTTCTCCGAGTCCGGGACAGACTCGAGAGGTGCGACTGCTGAAACGAGACTCGCCTTCAGGGACGCAGGCACTAGTTGATCGGACTGCCAGATTCTCTCATAGGGACCGGGCTGTGAACGCAGATGAGGGCAAGGCAAGAGGGGTTGGACCATACACTTCGGACGAACCTCAACGCCTGTCTCCGGATCCCGCAGGGCTGCATACGCGTCAAGCTCGCCCAGTATGTAATGTATCTATTGCATTTTCTATCAGGCTCACTGTTCGCGAAACTCAACCTTAACCAAACGCACCATGTTGTCAGTGAGCTGCAAGCTCCGATGCATATCTTTCTGCTGCTCCTTGATCTCCTCTGTCCACTTTGCCTGCACCTCTTCGTCCCGGAACTTAACCCACCACTCAGGCTTCTGGCGTATCGCCGCGCTCAGAGCGCACATGCGCAACTCGGCGAGTGTGCGCGGCGTGTCCTTCTCCGTAGGGTCATCGTCCTTTGAAGCGTAATATTGCCAGTCTCCGTTTCCGGTGAATGGATGCTTGTACCGCTTAAGCACGCTAGCCGCAGGTCCCGAGGGGGTACCATTGCGGTCGTTTGAGGCCATCGTTGAACGTTGAAGGCAAGTCCAGTAGGTGGGTTGGAAGCTAGATGTAATCAGGCTCTATGCTCAGGAGCAGTCAGATCTGGACCCGAGGCTGCACGGGTCATATGTCCGGTACTTATCGTCCGCCGTAGAACAAAAGTGCAGTGTGCGCGAGACAGATGTGGGTCGAGTGACTCCCCGTGGGTGGCTTGTGGCGGCGGTGCGCGATGCGCGCGTTGAAGTGTTTCATACGACCGCGGCACCGCTCAAGCACGGCGCATTGAGTCGACTGAGCGTGACACCACGACAGGCACCGACCAGTATGCTCGCGCGGAACTTCAACTTGGCATCAACGCGCCCGTCGGGATATTTCCTGTTATAGTAACCCTGAGGTCCTCGGCACCGTCGACACGGTCACCGTGTGCCGCATGCATCCCTCGGTGCAGTGCCTGACGCTCGGCCTCGAACGAATAAAGGGGCAGCCTGCAGTCCCCCTAATGTCACTGTGATCCAACCATCATTGTTATGTCTTCCCCGGCGGCGAGCGACAGCGGTGACTTTGGCGAGAAACCGCCCGCTTTCGACACCCGTTCACTGACGTCGGCGACTGGGACTACCTCGATGAGGACGACGATGATCCCGACGACAAGGATACGCCTCGCACCCTCGTCGAGCTCCGTATGTGTGCGCTGAGCGCGGCTATCCGTGAAAAGGTCGACTGGCATGTCAAGTATCGCGACGAGAACATACGGAACAGGTGGGCGCAAGAGATCCCGACCAACAGCAAGAGTGCATGAAAGTCTGCAGCTCACGGATAACATGGTATGCAGAACGTTGTGGAATGTCTGCCTTGTCATGCTGATGGCCTCGAAGATAAAGTATGTTCTGGCTGAGCTTGACGCATACGCTACTCTCCGTGACCCAAGCACAGGCATCGAGGTTCGTGCCCGTACATGGATGTTCCACTTGATGCCCATTGTACGCTTCAGCCCGGCCCGTACGAGCGGACATGGAAGTCTGACCAGCTCATACCTGCCGAATTGAAGTCGGAACTGCTGTCTGCGGTCGCCCCCCTCGAGTCGATCCCCGACGCCGAGAAGGACTGGCACCCGGGATCAGACGGCAAAGTCTTGGATCTCGTCCACCCGTCGCTGTATCCGCTCGTCTACGGACGTACAGCCTCGACGTCCGGTGAACTGTTCGAGCCTCGTATAGACGACGACATCGACCCTGTCTTCGCGTCCGAGCGTTTCCAATGGCTGCCGTCGGACTTCTACGTCGCTGACGACGGAGCCGTCAAGCTGATGTCGTCTTATATCAACAACGTCCATCCAGAGGATCATGTAGCCCTCGACAGGGTTATACCCAAAGTACTCGAGCGTGCGGTACCCATGTTCGAGTGGGTGTTGTCCGATCTTGCACGCGAGACACAGCTGCCGACGCGAATGGATCTAAAGGAGCGCAGGTTTCCGACTTGTATATGGGATACTGTAAGAACTCTAGTTGGCGGGGACCGGCTTATGCTCATCTTGATGGTTGGTAGGAAGAGCCGGGCCTTCAAGACGAGGAACAGGAGGCTATGGACACCGAAGTTCGCCGCCTCGAGCTAGCGAGAAATCCTGACGATCCGTGGGTTGACTACTACCGGCAACTCAAGTCCGTCTACTTAGACAAGCAGCCCAAGACATGGCCGGATAGCAAGCCGGAGTACGATGGCGGCTTGGACCAAATGAACAAAACCATAAATCTGCGGGGTCAAACATTGCAGATTATCGTCAAGCTGGCGAATATTGTCCTGACCCCGGACAAGCCTGAGTACGATGGCGGAAAGTGGCACGTAGAAGGTTGCCTGAGATCTCTTCCCGCTGATTGGCAACCTGTTGAGCGAACCTGTCAGGCATGAACAACGAAGCTATCGTCGCACATTTATATACGTGAGCACCCGACTTGTCTCTGGCATCTGTGAACCTGTTCTCATCGCGTCCTAGTATTATGACTGTGAAAACATGTCGGAATCGACTCTTTCCTTCCGCAACGCCGTCAACGAGCCTCGGTATCACGGTCAGGATGACAGCTATTGCATGATGCACCTCTACGGCATCTGCCGGTACGTGCTCAGTCCGATGCAGCCCTTCCCAGCTGAGCCTGAGTCCGATGCGTCTCAGAGACGACCGCTGTGTGCAAGACGTCGGTAAGGTCGTCACGAAACAAGATCGGTGTATCGCGTTCCCGAACCTATACCAACACCTCGTCTCGCCCTTCCGGCTAGTCGACCCCACCAAGCCTGGCCATCGCAAGATCCTCGTATTCTTCCTCGTAGATCCTCACATCAAGATCCCGTCCACGTCCGTCGTGGCGCCGCAGCAGGCATCGTGGATACGACGCGCCCTTCCGGGAACTGTGCTGTGGGAGCGTCTGCCCCTCGAATTGCAGGATATCGTCTTGAGCTACACGGACCTCATGACGGATCAAGAGGCGAAGGCGTACCGGGAGGAGCTCATGAAGGAGCGCACGGCATTTGTCGAGACCGTCAACGAGAACCGCTTCGGGCATGAGTTCAATATGTGGTATGCACTTTTTGGGCGTCTTTTGCTGTATGACGCGCTGATACAGTCGTGCGTCTTTACAGTGAGCATTGAATGGTTTGGGCTTTTTTGCAAGATCAACGGCCGCTGAGGGTAAGACTGCATGTGTTAGTAGCATGGACCGTCAGTAGCTGCGAAGTCGCCCTATCGTTTATTACGCGTTCAACATGGGCATCACCACTACAACTACGGTGCACTCTTTGTGTCTTGACCCTTTTTGTGAGAGTCGTACAGTATTGTGCAATACGAATGCCAGCAAGCCTGTTGTGTTTGGTCTGTCCCGGAGATTGTCTGTATAAGGTATGTTTCCACGCTATGTGCTCACTCCAATATACGACAACAACGCAGCTGAAATCGTCCCTTTATGTCACGAAAATGTATCGTGCGCAAGAACCATAGTTATAACTGCGACCGTACCATTGACCATGTCTGGTCGTACTACGTGCACATGATGGAACAAGGGCTGCCTCATACACACGCATGCGGTCGAGGTCCTCAGGGTTACTGTAAAAGGAAATTTCCCGACGGGCGCCGCCGCGTTGATGCCAAGTTCTGCGCAAGCATACTGGTCCGATGGTCGGTGTGTAGTGAGTCGACTCCGTGCTTGGGCGGTGCCGTGGTGGTGTGCAGCGCACGTTCAGCTATGCCAACCGAGTCGCGTACCGCCACCCACGAGGAGTCACTTCTGTCTCTCGCGCATTAGTAGTGCGTTTGTTCTTCGACGGACCGATAAGTACCTGGTATATGATCCTTGCAGCCTCGGAACAGATCTGACTCCTCCTAGGCATATAGAGTCCTGATGCTTGTGTGCAGGAACGCGACGCCGCTCTGATTACATCTGAAATTCGAAATCTCAACTTTCACTAGCACTGGCCATATTCGCCCTGCTCGCGTAGTATTGGCTTCAACGATGGCCTCAAACGACCGCAATGATACCCACTCGGAATCTGCGGCTCGCATGCCTAAGCGCTATAAGCACCCATTCACCGAAAACGAAGACTGGGCATATTACGCTGGAAACGACGACGACCCTACGGAAAAGGACACGCCGCGCACGCTCGCCGAGCTGCGTATGTGCGCTCTGAGCGCGGCGATACGCCAGAAACCTGAGTGGTGGGTTAAGTTCCGGGACGAAAACGTGCAGACGAAGTGGACAGAGGAGATCAAGGAGCAGCAGAAAGATATGCATCGGAGCTTGCAGCTCACTGACAACATGGTGCGTTTGGTTAAGATTGAGTCTCGCGAACAGTGAGCCTGATAGAAATGCATAGATACATTACATACTGGGCGAGCTTGACGCGTATGCAGCCCTGCGGGATCCGGAGACAGGCATTGAGGTTCGTCCGAAGTGTATGGTCCAACCCCTCTTGCCTTCCTCTCATCTGCGTTCACAGCCCGGTCCCTATGAGAGAATCTGGCAGTCCGATCAACTAATCCCTGCGTCCCTGAAGGCGAGTCTCGTTTCAGCAGTCGCACCTCTCGAGTCTGTCCCGGACTCGGAGAAGGACTGGCATCCAGGGTCAGATGGTAGAGTTCTCGACCTCGTCCACCCATCGCTCTACCCTGTGGTCTACGGGCGTACCACGACACGCGGCTTTGAGGAGACCCTCCAGCCCCGCGCGACGGACGTCGCCGCTATGTTCCGGTCGGAGCGCTTCCAGTGGCTCCCTTCGGATTCCACGTTGAGGAGGATGGCACAGTGAAGTTGTCCTCGCCGTACATCAACAACATTCACCCAGAAACCACAAGGCGCTCACCGAGGTTATCCCAAAAGTCATGGAGAAGGCGGTGCCAATGTTCGAGTGGATCCTGTCTGACTTGGCGAGAGAGACACAGCTCCCTACACGTCTTGACCTCAAGGGCGTAAGTTTCCGGACTGCGTCTGGCCGATGGGCGTACGTGCCGTTTCTTGATAGTCATCAAAGCCTTGCTCACTCCACCAGTACGAGCCTAACATGGATCGGGACACAAGGCTGCGCTTCATCGCAGAGCATGACCGTCTTCAAGCTGAGGACCGCAAGGTGTGGGAAGCCGGCAGGGATAAGTTGTGGGATGACGAATGGGACGTTTTCCTGGCTACTCGCTCCAGCGAAGACGAAGAATGGGAGGAGCCGCCGTACCCAGAGTTCAAGGAAGTCAACTATCTCCAACGATTTTTCAACGAATGGCAGGACGCACAGGCAGAACATCTGTGGCCGGATGCAAGCCGAGCTACGATGGTGGACTGGATGGAGTGAAGAAGACAGTTGATTTGCGAGGGAAACGCTCCAAGTCATCGTGAAGTTGGCTAACATGTCCTGACACCCGAGAAGCCAGAGTATAGCGGTGGGACATGGCATGTAGAAGGCGAGCCGGATTCTGCGACGTATCACAAGCGCTTCTGACTTCAGCCTCCCTACATTATTCAGGGATGGATAATGAGGCGATAGTGTCTACGTTCATATATGTGGGGCGCTCATGTTTGCGATGCTGCCGCGGTTCTTCGTGACAATGCACCTAGTACTATGACACAGAAAACATCACCGAATCTACCCTGTCTTTTCGCAATGCAGTCAACGAGCCGCGCTATCATGAACAATGTGACTACTACTGCATGCGCCATCTATACAACATATCGGTGTGCGTTGTCCATTATGCCTATCATCTAACCGCCATGTCATCTTCGCCTCTTCCAGTGACGAGATCTGCGTGCAAACTGTCGGCCAAGTCACAACCAAGCAAGACCGGTGCATCGCCTTCCCGAACATCTACCAACACCTCGTCTCGCCCTTCCGTCTCGTAGATCCCACCAAGCCAGGCCACCGCAAGATCTCGTCTTCTTCCTTGTCGACCCGAACATCACCGTCCATCAGCGACGACGGTGGGCCCGCAACAAGAGTCGTGGATCCGCCGGGCAGTGGAGAGCACGAACCTCTGGTGGAGGCTCCCATTCGAGCTGCAAGAGATGGTTTGGGAGCGGCTGGATCTGTTGACAGAGGAACAGGCGAAACAGTATCGGGAGGAGCTCATGAAGGAGCGACGCTGATCGTGAAGACAGTGGATGAACAGAGGTTCGGGCAAACGTTCAATCTGTGGTGCGTGGCTCTGAGTGTGCGGTCAACCGTGACCATAGTTCCCATTCTGATCCGGCGTGCGTCTATAGTGAGCACTGAGGGCTTGGTGCAGTCAGCAAGGTCGTGCTAGGGCAAGTGCGACATGAAAGGGTGGTATTCAGCTCGTGCTCGGCCCGGTAGTACGCTAAGCGTCGAGTAAGATTGCTCCATGTCATGAATAATGTACTCACTTCTAGGTCCCACGTCTGGTAGATGTTAAGGACACGCTTCACAGTGCGCGATGCTACTTATCATGTCCATGCCGTCCGAATCGTGGTTTGACGCACCAAATCGTGAATGATTCGACGTCAGGTGCGTGGTTCAAGTTTCCTCAGCACACGATACAGCGACAACATGAATTCCTGCGCAAAGCACTCTACGATCAGGTTTAGAGGTGCCAGGCCAGTCCGTGACTGCACAAACATTGCATTTCCAAACCTCTATCAGCACCGAGTCTCTCCCTTCCAATTGGCAGACGCCACGAAACCAGGTCGTCGCAAGATTCTTGTATTCTTCCTTGTCGACCCACACATCACAGCTAGGTCCATATCGTTGGGCCCCGCGCCTTTCAAACACACATAGGCGGAGTCCAGCGGGTTTGATATGGGATCACGCCGGGCGCAGCGGAATTTGACGGCCAGGCTGAGCCAGGCAGCCGCGACCTTGGCTAGGCGGCCCAGGTCGAGCGGCACAATGTCCGGATCACCAAATACCAACGTCCGACGACCCCCGCTCCTATGCGCACTTTCCGTGCGGGGCCCAACGATATGGACCTAGCTGCAAGATCCCATCCGCGGCCGACAGGATCAATATGTGGTAAGTCCCCATCTATTATGTTGCACCGCGTACTCATCGCATATTCCATATGTAGTGAGTATTGACGATGGCATGCGTCGATCGACGAATATCGGCACGGCACTCGTGAAGCACGGGCCAATTGTTGAAGTAATTCTACTCCTTTCTGAGGAATCATAGAAACTCCAACACGACGTTTCCAAATAATGCACCGTTCGTCACGTCATTATGGTCGTCCTGGTAATACATGCAACGTTCGTGAAGACTTCAATGTCATTATACTACCTTCGTCAATGCTTTGACCGCATGCTCATCGTCCTCATGGTTGGGACTGTGCAGATGATTAACATTAGCTTCGAACTGGAAGTGAAGACGATTGGCTTACACATCATCAGGCCCTTGATGTCCTTCACGCGCGACTGCTCGATGCCCTTCCTCAGGATCAACACCCGGATACTAGCCCAGGCCAGTAACAAGCAGCCAAACGCAACAGGGATCAGCCAGTAAAGCGGCGACAGATGATATGAGCCACCAAAGACGACGTGCAGCGGGGGTGTATAGATAACGAAGATGCCGAGGCACGCTCCCGCGAGGATCCCAGCAAAGTTGTAGTAGTTCCCGACGATTGACTTGCCGAATGGGAAAGAGAATTTGGCTTTGACGGCGAAGACATTGAAGCACTGGATGATGAAGATCGAGAGATACACTAGTCACGATGTCAGCATGGTTTCTCACTGATAGAGGGTGGACTGCGTACCAATAGACTGTGCCTTCCCGAGGGCCTCAACCTGCTGAGAGGCGTCGATAACTTGCCCTCTTGTATTGACGAAGTCAGGACTCGATTCCGTGAAGTAGGCTATGTAAGGCGACGTTCGTCAAACGACTCGGAATGATGCACAAGGGGATCACGTACTGATAGACGTCGATGATTGCGCGGTTCGCAGGTCAGTCGGTGTGAAGCCGCTCTTGTAGAAGACCACGAAGTAGGCGACAAGTGCCCCGAGCATCTCTATGACGCCAGCCTCCAGATAGGAGTAACTGAGCAGCTTGCCGTCCACCAAAGACTCGTCTTCTGACCGTTCCGTAGCATCCTCCCAGAACTCGCGAGTGAAGGGTGTGCCGAACTTGGAGGTCAGGGCAGAAATCCGACTCGGCTGAATGATATCGCCTGTCTCTGTATCGCGCCGAATGGTCTTCGTCCGACGGAGGGCCTTCCTCTTCAATGACATAACTGACCGCTCATTGACAGGCTTCCGTGGGGCCATTCGCATCAGGCCGTCTTCCGTCTCCGGCTTGTCCCACGCAAACGATAGCTAGTGATGCAAATCAGTAAGCACGTTCACTGGAAAAAATGCCTAAGAATACTAACCGCTACGAAGAGTTCAAAGCCAAGATCTGTGGGTTTATTGGTAAGTGACATATAAATAGTATCGAGTGGTCAAAGTACCGATCACTAGGATAAGAATAGCCGACAGCGGGAGAGGGATTGGCACGACGACATAGAGTAACTGCGGGATGACTTCGGGTGTACTATGCGAGATCGTGTATTGAATCGACCGCTTGAGGTTGACGAAGATCTGACGGCCCTCTGCGACACCCTCTGCAGCAGAGTTGTCAACATGGGTGAGGCTCACAGAGTAAGCGACAAGTCACTCACTGACGGTAGATGCGAAGTTATCATCAAGGAGAATCATGTTCGCAGCCTCTTTCGACACGTCCGAGCCAGATATGTTCATGGCAATTCCTAGGTCAGCCTTCTTCAGCGCTGGAGAGTCGTTGACGCCATCGCCGGTTCTGCGGAAAGAAGTCAGCTCACAGCATAAAGCGATCGGATGATCCTTACACTCCGACGATGTGGCCGAGGGCCTGGGCATGTTTGACTGGAAGGGATTCCATGAGTGCCTGCATTGGACCGACATGAAGGTGACCTACCTATTTCCAGCTTGTGTGCGGCGACGTACGTGCGAACACAATTTCCTTCTTGGCAAAAACTGGAGCCTGTCAGTACGTAACAGAGTGTATAGAAGACAAAGGCCTGCATACTCTGATCCCATTGCCAACCCTGCAGCCCGTCGATGTCGTCGCCGTGCACAACCACCGCGTCGACTTCGTCTTCATAGATCTCCTCGATCGGACGACCCGTCTTCGCGCTTAGGGTCTCCCTCGTGTCGCCCAAGATGAGGTTGATCTTGCGCGCGATCGCTTCAGCGGTCTTCGGGTGGTCGCCCGTGACCATCATGACCTTGATACCAGCAAGACGGAGCGTGCCGATAGCCTCGCGAACGCCGTGCTTCGGCGGGTCCTCCAGCGAGATCAGACCGCAGAAACAGTACTCCTCGCTCGGGTAGTTGACGTCGTTCTTTGAGAAGGCATAGCCCATGTCGTACTGATCTGAAGGGAGGAGCTTCTGCGCGCATGCAATGACACGATGGCCGCGGGATGCCATGTACTGTGGTCTGAGTGTCAGCTATGGTGGCCACGAAGAGAATGGAGCACATACGTTGTAAGCTTCGTCGTACTCTGCCTTGAACTCGTCCGACATAGGCTCCATCTGACCGTCCTTCAGATACGTCGAACATTTGGCGAGAACACGCTCAGGAGCCCCCTTAATATAAAGCGTCAAGCGACCGCTCGCATGCGGCTTGTTCAGCTATTGATCGGGCGTAAGTCTCGGTAACACAAGATAATACATGACCATAACTAGTACGCACGATGACCAAAGCCCACTTATTCGACGAGTTGAACGGGATCTCGAACACCTTCGAATGCTGCTTGTGCAAGTCATCGTAATCGGCAATCTGACGCCCTGCGAAACGCGTAAGGCCGGTCTCCGTGGCGTCACCAAGGATCTGGCGCTGGTCAAACGGCACGTCCGTCTTGTCGAACTTGACCCTCGAGTTCAGCGCCGCGATGTCGACCATCTCGCGCATGCCTGAAGCGCTGATAGAGAACGCTTCCGTGGCGTCTGTGTCGTTGTTCGATGGAATGCGGTGTACATCTTGCCTCCGCTCCAGAGGTTCGTGACGGTCATTTGGTTCCGTGTCAAAGTACCAGTCTTGTCCGTGGCGAGGAGAGTGAGCTGTGGGGTGTGTCAGTCTCACTTCGGAACCATTGTGCGCAATTATAGGGACTCACGGATCCCAGAGTCTCTACTCCTTGTAGATCCTTCACGAGTACATTCTGGGCAGCCATACGCTTCGCGGCAATCGACAGCAGAAGAGTGACGACAGAGGGCAGACCCTCCGGGACGAAGGCCACCAGGATAGATACCGCAAAAGTGACCGTCTCGGCGCCCTTGCCTTTATAGACCGTGGTGATGCCGACGATGAAGAACACGACAGCAAACACAATGGCGATGGAGGAAACCATCATGACGAAGCGGGAGCTGTTGTAAACGACGTGAGCATCTGAGCTGGCGGGTATTTCAGGGAAAGTGGCGTACATCTCGACGCCGAGAGGACTCTTGTTGCCCGACTCGCCTCCGGTGAGGGCCGCAATCTGACCGATCAGCGTGTGGTCTCCGGTCCTCACAACAACGCCCCATCCTTCGCCGTTGACGACCAGAGTGGAGTTGAAGACCTGCAGCCACGATCAGGATTTGTACGAACGGAGACAGGAAGAGAGAGATGTCCGTACCAAATTCTCAGCTTCGACTGGCCTGAGGGGGCTGCCTTCCGGTTTACCAAAGCGCTCTTGTGCTCCGACTCTCCCGTCAGGCTACTGTTGTCGACCTTCAGGTCCGCAGCCGCGAAGAGGACCAGGTCGGCAGGCGTCTTGTCGCCCATACGCTATACTCACGTGTGAGCTGTCAGCACAGCGAAAACCCCTCATGCCGATCGCGAGAGGTACCGACCAACAACACGATGTCACCCTTCACCAGATCCGCGGCCGGAATGGACGTGATCGACCCGTCACGGACGACATGACACGACGGCGGGATCATAGCCAGGAACGAAGCGAGGATCGCCTCCGACTTCTGCAGCTGGAAGAACTCGATGAAGGCGTTGAGGAACGCGACGGCGATGAGGATCCTCCAAGATAGGTGTTTTGGAAGTTAGCCTTTGAGGGAGGTTAGCCCGATATTAATGGCGCCCCAGGAAATTGTGTTGTCTGGTCATCATACCTTAAAGCGATCCCCAGCAAGATGTACTCGAGGATGCCGGCGAAGATCAACAAGATGTTGAACATGGTCAGGAGGCAGTCGATATACTGAGTAAAAAGGTTCGATGAGACAATGGTTTCGAAGCGGCGCTGGTCGACGTACCTTCTGCAGGGCAGACTTCTTCTTCGGCGGGGTGAGCACGTTGCGCCCATCGCGCGCGAGCCTGGCCTTGGCCTCGTCTGTGGTCAGGCCGAAAGACGCGCCGGGGTCCTTCGTATCAATGGCAGTGTCGGCGCCGCACCAGCTGGTCGTAGGGCAGGTGGTGCTCAGATATGTCGACCTTGTCGAGCTCGTCGGTCTTCTTTCCCTTGGTCTTGTGCTCGTCGAGGTGCTCGTAGCCTGCGGCGGCGAGCTCCTTGTCTTCCTTGGTCATCTCGCGCTTCATCTCCACACCTCTGGGCGGAGGTGCTGGATCTTCTCCTCGCGGACATCCCATGATCGTCGGGAACACGACTGCTCGCGTGCCGGTGACTTCCTCGTCGGTGGTGAGAACGGGGAGGCGGAGGCGTCTGGTGGCCTTTCTCGGAGTCCATATCAGCAGCCACGGTCAGAAACGATAGGGAGCAAAACTGAGACGAGAGGGGACAAACAGCCCTGTTCGTCCCTTCATTGAATATATACATGGTGACCTGGGGCGGGCCTGAAAGATGCCGAAAACTTCTCTTGAAGCGATGACAGAACTCGGGACACAGAATCCCAGCGGTGAGGCTTATCGGATTGCACATGCGCGGTGTGATTGGAGCTGGCGAGGCAGCCCTGTATAAGTTGAACGAACAGCCAAAAGCCCTCAGAGCTGATGGCGTGAATTCCTCCGCCACCAACGCAAGTTCGGACGCCCACGTGGCGGCGCGAGCTAGCGCTAGACCCGTCCACGGAACAGTTTCCTTGACGAGTGACGGGAGACCCCCAGCCTCGAGGTAGGGCGAACGCCTTGCCTTATGGAAGTTGCTGGCCAATTTCCGACAGCCAGGGAGCGCGGCTTATCGACCGACCTCGGTCGCGAGCAGCCACTGTTGCATGTAAAATGCCACCCTAGCTTGAAGGGGCCGAGAAACGCCCTTGTAAGGGTCGTCATGGTTCTGTCGCTGAAAAGCTTTCAGAGCGAACAAAATAAGGCATGGAAACACTCACTGAGGATCACCGTAAGGCTTGGCCGCGCAGTCTGGACACGCGAAGTGCCCGAGTCAAGGTCCGGACTGGAGCGGACATAACACACTGCTTCGGATAAGCCAGACACAGTGGATGTGTGGCTTCCGAGTACCAACGACGGGGAGAATCAGTACCGGATGGATCACAACCAAGCACGAGTTGCATCGGGACTCCAGAGGTCGGTCCGATGGGTTTGCTATGGGACTGCTAACCACATGAAACCCTGGGGCGTCAGCCAGTCGGGAACGACGGATATGACAACAGTATAGCAATCGATGCGACTTGTATTGTCAGGCGAGCAATACATTCTGGCCGCGATGGAAGGTGAAGTTGAACAACTAGACGTTTGAACTCGATCGCCAAGTGCAACACGCAGTGATCGAGCGGCACCTCCCGCTGGGGCTCCCGAATTTACTAATACGGCAGGCGTGCAAGAACGAGCGGCCAGGCATCTGGCAAGTCCGGGCGCCCTCTCGTTCAATCTTCCTCGCGGAGCACTGCGCAGCGCCCCGAGTGGTGCGACAGCCGATACTATTCCGATTCGAACTCGGTGGCTATTGATTTATCTTTGTACTGCTTCTTGGGTACATTACACGCTACTCTACATCTTCTACCACTACTGCCGACCACAATGACGTCCACACGGGCATCACGGCCATCGAAGCAAGCGTACCGGCCCCGACGCACGAGCCTCACGCGACGGGGGCGATATCTTGGGTCAACACATACCGTAGCGCACCTTCCCGCCTTCACTTCTCCACCGCCTCCTTCGCCTGGCTCATCGGGAGCTCCTGGACCCACGGCTTGACGCCCTTCTCCGCGGCGAGCTTCAGCATCGCGTTGCAGTCGTCCTTCGAGCCGATGTGCGACCCGCCCAGGAACGCCCGCTCAGCAGATCGAACGCGTGCATCTCCGGCAGCGGGTTGTTCGTGTCCGGCAGCCCGACGTTGATGAACTTGCCGTGCACGTCCAGCATCGACATGTACGTCTTCAGCGGCCGGTCCGGCCGGAAGACGTCGATGGTCGAGATGAAGATATCCAGCTCGCCGAGGTACGGTTTGTAGAAGTCCTGTGTGGTGCGGGTGGATCAGAGGAAGGCGGCAGTCTCACGAAGACGACGTACATTGGAGTGTGTGCTGATGACGTGGGTGGCCCCCATCTTCTTTGCGTCCTCGAGCTTCGCTTCGCTGTGTGTGAAGGCGTACACCTCCGCGCCCATCGCAGCCGCAAACAACACGGCATAGTGCCCGAGGCCACCGATGCCCATCACACCGACCTTCTTGCCGGGGCCACAGCCGTTTCTCCGCAGGGGCGAGTACACCGTCAGGCCGGCACAGAACATGGATGCCGCATCCTTGGACTCGATCGCCTCTGGGATGGCGAACACAAATAGCTGGTTTGCACGGATGGCCGTTGAGTAGCCGCCCTGCGCGAACACGCCGTCGGGGTAGTATGCGTTCTACGGACAGTCTCAGCACGAGGACCGCGCATCAATCGCATCTTCACTCACGTAGGTGTCGATCATGCCGTCTGCGCAGTAGTTCTCGTTGTTGTTCTTGCAGCGCTTGCACTTGTAGCAGCTGCCGATCTGGGCGCCGACGCCGACGCGCTGGCCGACCTTGAACTCCTGCACGTTCGCGCCGACCTGCGTGACAATCCCGACGATCTCGTGCCCGACGACGAGCGGCAGCGTGCCCGTGCTGCCCCAGCCCTGGCTCAGGGTGTGCACGTCCGAGCCGCACACGCCGCAGTGCGTGATCGCGAGCTCGACGTCGTCGTCCTCGAAGGTTTTTGGCTGGTAATTCACCACGCTCAGCGTGCTCCATGCCGACGGGTCTGTCCAGCAAACGGTAAATAAGCAATATTCTCTGTGCCGACGAGTTAGGATCATCATTACGAACCGGTCAACGCGTAGCCCTTGAATTCAACCATGATGCCGTCAAGTGGTGAGCTGTTGCAAGAGTCTGTCTCTGGGAATGTGGTCGTGCTCCCACAGGGGCTTTATATATAGGTTCACAGGATGTTGGGATGTGCCGTCTGCGCTCCGTCGGGATGGCACATCGGTCCGCCCGCGCGAATATTGACAGCGTTCACATCGCACACCACTGCAACGGCGCGCGGACCGTCCGGCAGCGGCATGGAGCAGCCGAGTCTAGTCAGAAAAAGCTGAGCGGAAGACAGTCAGACAACGCAGATATCCGCGATGACGACCATCCTGCGGGAGCCGTAAGTATGCCGCTCGCACATTCGTCGGACATCCAGCATACTGTAGCATAGGAGGAGGACATAAGGCGATAACCGCTCACGGTGGCGCCGACCATGGGACCAGGGATGATCGCGTTTATTTCGGATAAATGATATGTACGTCAGCCCATGACGCCAACATCCATATGAACGATAAGGCACACCTGAAATCGAGTTCATGAAGTAGCGAGAATTAGGGAGACGAGCACGAGGAGCAACGATCGGTCGAGTCCGGGAGGTACAGAGGGTGGGCAATGCCCATCAAGGTACAGAAAATCTGTATCGAGTAGAAGCTCGGATCACCAGTGAAGAACTACACGCAACGATATATACGACAAGCGATCCAGAGCACAACTATACTTGTGTACACTACAATAACAAATACTATACATCCAGGGAAACATGACAAGGGCATCGAGGGTCATCATGTCCGTCGTATATCGATAACAATGCTGAGGTGGCGCAGGGAGCATGACTGGTATAAATACAAGCAAGGGAAGGCAGTGACCTGAGAGACCGCTTTAGATTCTCAGGTGCACGGCAGATGAGGAAAACGTACCAAAGCACAGTAAAACTCATCCTTAAAGGGTGAGCATCAGATGCAATGCAAGTGTTTCGCAATGCAGCGGAAGGGCTAACGAAGCACCTAGAATTCCAACGCCTCCTTAAACTTCGTCCCACTCTCGAACTTGCGCATGGACCGTATGCTAACCGCATCGGATACCTGGCGCTGAGGAGAACTCGCCGCCGTCTGCACGCTGAAGCGTCCTTCCCGGGTCTCCTTGGGTGTGGGTGGACCATTGGAGTGCTCGGTAGATGTCGGCGATGGCGACGAGACGAAGGGATCGCTGTAGCGCGTGGCCGGATGTTCCGAGTGCTCCGGAGCTTGGAGCTCAACAGAGTCTGCGCTCGCGTCCTCGTCGCGCCTCGGTAGGTGCGTGTCGACGTGGAGAGGCGACGGGTCTCGCTGGTGTACCTGCTGCTCGCGTTGTGGGTTGTAGGATGGCAGCTCGTCCCGTGCGTCCCACTCGTCACCGTCCTCGCCGCTCGCCCGCACCCATCCCTCCGATCTCCGCCTCCCGAACACGCGTGTCAGTCTGGAGAGCCATGACGGGGCGTGGAAGGCACTGCTAGGCGAGTCCGAACGTGCTTGCTTCCTCTGCAGTCGTCGTGCACGCCGAAGTTGGCGCTCGTAAGGCGTAGGGTTGTACCTTTTGAGGAGGATAAAGACGAGCACGGAGCAGACAAGAACGACAACCCCGAGGGAGACGACCAGCGCGATGAACGCCACGGGCGAGCCATTGATCTCAGGGACCTCCGTTGCCCCTCTGATTTTGGTTTCTTGCTGCGAATAGGAATCCGAATGCGTCAGATTCTCATCATTCACTCATACGCATGACTGGGACTCACAGGAGCTGATGGATCTGTGACCGTTACTTGTCGTATAGAAGGCATCGTAATGGTCGTGAGGCTCGAGTTAAGATATGCAAAAGACTGAAGAGTATTATCGTACAGTGGGAGGTATACAGATGGCACTGGTGAGGAGGATTGGCGCCCGAAGGTTGCGGCAGCGTAGCGCCCAAAGGTGGGGATGGGCCCGACCGGCCCGCCTGTGTCGCAACCAAAAGCAGCAACTTCCGGCAACCACACTCAGACTGCCAGCGTCGCCTTACTAGTTAGTACAGTATACGACCACCCTCTTCTCACTGAACAAGGTCGTATTTAGGGTCTGCCTCAGGGAGAGTAGCATGGCACCTCTACACTGACGGTTGATTTATCGCTAGAACCCTCCAAAATCGCAACCACATTCCGCCGTCCAGTTGTGCATGTAGGCGACACCGCGTCTGCTCGATGTGCATGGCCCCAAACCCAAACTCCATGATCTAACAACTCACAGTGCACAGCCTGAGCCAGAATTACGTTATTGCTGATCATGTATACCAAACCATGGTGTTGTCGCTTCGAAACTCCGGTGGACCCCAAGCTTCAACTCGCTCATGCGGCTCTGCGAAGACGGTGAAATCGAAGCTAATGCTACAGTATATACAACGGCACGAAGGAAGATACATATAGGCCACAAGGTAAGTGTCCATAAACTCGTAACGTCGTGTCACCCGTTAATCTGCGTAACAAAATCGTGAAACAGCGTGGATACAGCCACGTCTAGTCCGCGCGAAGACGCCTCCGGCTCAGTCTTTTTTTATCCCTGCGCGGCGACGTCCGCGTCGAAATTGAAGAACTCGTTGATGTCGAGGTTTCCAAAGGGCGACATGCTATAGTTACCTGGCTCGATGCCTAGCTCGGTCAGCCCCATCGTGTAAGATTCGATGTCCGCCTGGATGCCGCTGTAGGTGTTCGCAGCGACGCTCGTCGGTCTCGGTCCTTGCCCCGCGTATGTGGACCCAACAGACTCGAAAGACGAGCGGCCCCCTCGGTGGTCGGCGGGACGTATGGCGCACGCGCGTTCACCGGGAACTCGGACGACCTCGGGGTGCGATCGAAGTCGACTTCGCCGACGGGCGTAGCAAGCGCGCCGGCGGGGACGAATGCCTCGTTCGGCCACGACTGCATGGTATTGGGCGGTACGTACGTCTGCGTGGGCACGCGGGCTTCTGCGGGCGACTCTGCTGTAGGATCCACCCCTGAGACGGTGACGGTAGGAACCGGCATAGTGTTCCACCCGGAGAGCGACGAAGTCACCATGGTGAGCGGAGATGGAAACGCGCCAGAAGCCGTCGCAGCCCTCCGCCGTCGCAGAAGGGGGCTTGTCGATGTGGGTACAGAGCTACTGACGGCCGATGTGGACGTTGGTGGACGTGCCAGTTGCGGGATCGCAATATCCTCATTCTAACCATGATGGTAAGTGATACCATTCCCGTCACTATGAAACGGTTACGCTTACCTTGATGTCAGAGGTATCGAATGTAAACGCGTCTGGGGCGCTGTGTACCGACGACGTCGAAGGCGATGCAAACCCGGCGCTCGGGTCACTCGACCAGAGGTTGAACCCGGCATCCAGGGGCTCGATGGGCCACGCAAACGGACTGAGGTCGTATGGCGATAGAGAATCCGCGAACGACTCCATCTTCACACCCGTGGGCACACTCGGCCGTTGCCAGGCCGCGCTCGCCCCCGACAGGTATAGGAAGGCTGGAAATGGTCATGAAGCGGCGCTCCAGGTCGAGAAGGCATCGACACGGACCGCCCTCCGTGTCGCACGGACGCCGTCGCGCTGTCGTCGTAGAACGGGGTACTGGGGGGCTCTGGGGACGGCGAAGAATAGCAAACGCTACCTGGGCTGGAAGCCGACGTGTAGTCGCTCGCGGACTCCGACTCGGAAGAGTGGCCTTCCGATCTGGTCGCGGTACGGCGCACAAGCGACTCGACCTGCTCACGCCTGGAGATCGCGACGGTCTCCTGCTGGCCGTCGCTCTGGCGTCTGCGTGGCTTGTACCTGTAGTGGGGGTGCTTCTCCGCATGGTCTAGACGCTCCTGCTCCGCCTTCTCCTTATACGGCGCCTTCTCCTGAACAGAGAGCGCCTTCCAGGCCTCGGCAGCTCTCTTGGAGAGCGTCTTTTCAGGTGTCGGTGGGTTGTTTCGGTTGGCCTGCGCGTGCTTGCGCGAGTACTCAGAGCGGAAGATGATGAAGGCATTCGGGGGTCGCGGGACCCACGATGGATCCCGCTCGCGGTTCCTCTGAGCTCGACGCTCGGAGGTGGCGCTCATATGCGAGTGAGTGCGATAATATGGTTGACGCTGCATGTCGGAGAGAGATGGAGATGCTGCGCGGGACGGTGAGGTATCTGGTCGTTGCAGGTGAGCAACGAGTGACAATGAAGAAGAGAGGAGCGAAGCACCTCGAAGTTCGGTAGAGGAGTAAGTTGGCCACGCTTTAGAACCACTTGCTATGTTGGACATCCAGCCGAGGATTGTGGCCGGAGCGGAGGTCATGTGTCAGAGTTGTGCGCAAGTACAAAGCGTGCAGGGGCCCGCGAGAGTGGCCAGAGGGAAATCGGCTATTCTGCGGCACCATCATGCTTTATAACAACCTTCCCCCGATATTCCGACTGGCGATGCTCCCCTTTCCCATTTGATACTTTGGACCGCCACTCCGACGGTAATTGTGCGTGCCCAGGTCACGGAAGGGGTTCGCGTCGCCGCCGGCGCCTGTGCCACTGGCGTGGGCGCCCAAGATTGCGATCTGTGCTCATCGTGTCTGATGAGATTGCGATCTGCGCGCCGCCGCACGCACACCACGAGGCTACCCAACGCGAAGTCCCGACCGACCCGCAAACCGCATGATGCTCAGCAACACGTCCCTCTCGGCGGACTCGCGCTCTGATGTGCGTGCTCGCCGTTATGTCCCGTGTCTCACTGCGGCCGCCGCACCTTGACCTAGGAGTGGGTCCAGCGTAAAATTGAACCAAATTTCAATCTCAGAGACTCAGACTACCCCTTACTGATCGCCGCGGGGGTCCCGCGGCCAATTCTCTAGATTTCTTTTGGGCACCGTTGTATTTTGGACAGGAGTGGTGGCAATCGCGGCCGCCCGCAGGCGGGGCGTGCGCGCATCGCACTCGGGTCTCCTGTGTGGCCTCCGCCGCACGACGTGGCGACCCGGCCTCGACCTACCGTACCTTCGCGGGTACGATCTCCCAGAAAAGGCTAGTGTGGACCGGACGCCACTCCCGTTCACCGTGGATTTCTCTAGGAACGAGTTCGGCTCTGCGGTGGCACATGTCTCATCCTGGACCCGCCGACCAACGGACCTTCAGAGGACAGTGGGCATTGGGCTGAGCATCCTCCATTGAGGAACTGTCGCCGCCACCAACCGCTGAAAGTCAAATTACGTAGAGGGAGCAACAGACGATGGTGATGTTTGCGGGGACGGCACATGTTAAGGTGAATCCCATGGCTAGACCCCGGCTAGTGAGCGAACACTGAACGTTAGTCATTAGGTTCTGATCAGCGAAGGTGGCATGCACAATCGCGGAAGTTATCGAATGCCAAGTTTACCGGTATATACTGCCGCATCTGGCGTGTTTGCCCCAAGATTGCCGTCACCCACGACAGACCGACGGGGCCTCGTATGGCATCACGTTACTGGCTACATCCATGGCGACAGAGGTACAGGAGTCTGAGGAGACAGGAGACAGGACAGCTATCAGCTTGTTATCAGAGTTGCGCTCTCGAACAGAGGGCACAGTGCCAGAGTACCTCACATCGGGCCGGTCGAATACCGTTTCCAGACGAAGAAGGGGCTGACATCGCAGCGGCGAATACTGATTTGCGAGAGACGAGGAATTTCTTCGAGTTCCTACTAAGGATATGTGTTCACAGGGTCGTCTCGAAGCATCAGAGCACGGGTAGGTCTCCTGTCTCCTGATTTCCTTCGGAACCGAGGGCCAATCCGAGCATAGTGGCAGGATATGTCGATCGAGCAGGATCTTCGCGGGAGGTTTGGTTGCAAATAAGTGGGAGCAATGTCATTTGCCTTTTGCGAGGCGACATTGTCAACTGGACAGCACGGGAAGCCGAATTTGCTTCGGCGGGGGACAGCGCCCCAGCGTGCCTCTTTAGATAGCAGGGCGCGAATCCTCCTGTCATAACAATTCTAGACCCCAATATCACTCCATCAAATCTCCTACGGGTACACTCGCAGAGAACCGAACCGTTACTTTGGGACGGTAATTCCGCCGTGATAAGTAATACTGCTGCGAGGCCGAGACTGCAACTCAGTGGCACAGCACACATACGGGCTGCCACCGGTGGGTGCAAGTCAACCCAGGCGATGCACAGCGCCAGATCCGCCGAGGCCACCGCACCATTGTTCAACACATGGACGTCTGGCAGCACTGCTGCCATATGCCTGCTATCCCTCATTCGCTGTAGCGGGGGGTCCCTTCTCTCGCTTGCGTCAGTCTAGCTTTGGAGTGCCCAATCGATTCAGACTGACCATGTCTTCAAGCTGAAGTAGTAAGTTAGTATATGAAGCAGAGGTTAAAGGTCACATCGCCAGACTCTGAGAGCACTCGGTGTTGTAGTTGTCATATCAGAGTGCGGTACAATGTTGCATAGCAGCGTACTGACATCATGATGGTACCCGCGATTCGAGCGGACACGCATCGAACTGGTGGGAAGACCCGATGTCTGGGACAGGTCGCCGCTTCTGTTCGCGGGAACACGCGATCCAGCGCAGCGTCGTCGGAATTCGCGAGGCAAAGATCAATAGGGTGGCCCCTAGAACGGGCGGCGACCATTGGACGGCGAGCGCCACGCAAACAAAGCATGGCTTACTCAAGAGGCACAAAGGACTCGTGCGCACGGCTCGCCAGCTCCCTCGAGTCACGTAATTCTCCGGCGATCTCGCAGGGATCTGATGCCCCTGTCCGCCAAAGCCCTGCTAAGGCTCGAGCATCGCGGATGCTGATTCGGGTAGCTGTGATCTGCAGGAAAACATCGGTCAGAGATCGGTGATGCTTTCCGGTCTCTTAGTAGCGAGGTGTTGACGAGGTGCTCGTGAAGGTCATATTGCACCCCGGAGTGAGGTGACAGGTCTCACCCATGGTCGTGCCACCAGTGCTAGCGGTGCCGCCACTGACGACGCCCAGACCAACGGATGGTTCGTATACGGCCGCCGAAGGTTGTTACTCGGACTCGACCGTCGACGCCCTCATGGGGCGCATCGGAGAAGAAGATAGAGTTCCAACAGGATCTCGCCACTGGAGATTTGATGGACGCATGTTCAATTGGGCTAGAACATCAAAGTCCACGTGTGATACCGCTACGGACACCACGGACACCGGTATGCGCAAGGCGAAGTACACGATGAAGCGAAATGTTCGAACGTCCATGAACACATTGTGGAGTCCAAAGAGCGTTCACATCGCAGGCGCCATCTACCGCGCGATAGCCTTGTCAGTACTTGAAGTCGCGTCGAAGGATCAGCGTACCACGAATTGTTATTCGGCGCCTGTGCCAACCCGCACGACGAGGCGTCCAGCTGAACGGCAGTGGCATTGATCCTTCCCAGGAACTCCGCCTGGCCGTTCGTCAACGTGTTCATCGCCTCTAGCGCGATATTGAAGCCGGTGGCGGCGTAGTCGATGGCAAGGACGTTGACGGTGTACGACTCGAAGGAGAGTTGCCAACAAGTACCGCACTCTGCTGAGCCCCAGCCCGTCACGACTGCAGCCCCTCCGATATCCGGGAAGCCGGGAAGAGTGCCGAAGGTCGTATAGCCGTATTGCTCCAGGCCGTTAACTCCGTCGGAGCAGGCGACGGTGTTCAGCGACCCGGATGAGTTATCATACAACTGATCGTACGACACAGACACTGTCGTTTGACCGAGGACGGCTGAAGCGCAGAGGGCAAAGACAGTGCCGACGCGGAGGAGCTGCATGATGGAACACGAGAGCGACTGGTGCATCGGGAGTGCACTGAGGATCAAGATGCCTCGCGCAACGCATTTAAACGTATTTCGAGAGGTGACCGTGACCACGTACGCCTCGACAGCATCCGAGCCAAATAACGGCACAAGGTCTTCGACGGTCAACCACTGGTGGCAGGACGAACCTTTTCGGCGGCAGGACGATACCTCATGGCGCCGCTCCATGAGACTTTACGCCAGAAATAGAGCCGATTCCATCCCAGGACGGGCAGCCTTGCCGGTAAGCAAGAAGATTAATGCCATGAAGAGTAGAAATGGCGGTCAGCGACAGCTACCTTGATGGGGGGGCCCATGCAACCCGACAGCCGATGCTCTAGCGACGAAAGCTCTGGCAGCGAACGCAAGAGACTAATCAATCTAGGCCAGCGAAGTGAGGGACTCTGGGCAAGAAGTATGAGGTCTGTCGACTTGTGTGAGAAGAATCCGCACTCACGCCGCGAACGAAGCCTGAATGCACGCTCAACACCTGCTGATACGGCACGAGGACTGCTCTTCCTGTCCGATTTTGAAGTACAATTGCATCCATATCCACAGTGGTTTCCCATCGTCCTATCCCTGTTCTTGATTGACATCGTACTTACGTCCACAGCCCGATAGGGAGCTCGGCATCCAGTGCAATCGATCTGGGCATGGGAGTGCTTGAGTCGGTTCGGATGTAACGGAAATCTGATGCTGTCGCCGAGCAAAGTATACAATCCGAATAGACACAGCGGGGTAATACAGCATAAGCTTTTGCATTGAGATCGTCGTATATGTCAAGGGCGACCCAGCGCGCCCAAGTCGATCGAGTCGCTGCCTATGGTCGCGGGAAGACCGATCGTCCCATGCCGCGTGACAGTCACATTGCATCACACACCGTAACACAAGTGACCGCACCCAGGTCGTTAGTTAGGCGCTCTATTCTCGCGCTCGCGTCGACGCTGCAGTCTGGCTCCAGTTCACCGTACTGCACAGTGAGCAAAGGTCGTTCTCTGTCTAGCTTGGCATCCAATCATCTGCACTGCTCTACTTGTATCTGTAAGACGAACGGACACACGAGACTCGAACGCGATGTCTGTCGCAACGGACTTGCCTGTCCTGCTTCCGCGCAAGGTGCTACCTCGGACAGAACTACTACCACGAGAATGGTCATCAAAAGCAGACCTCTCAATAACAAATCCACCACCTCCTGACGATGCAAGAACACACGACCAGGAGATGGCTATGGCGAGACAGCTCATGGACGGCAAGACTGCCAAGAAGGTCAGACCGAGGAGAACAGTTGACTACGGCGGTCCCCTGGGACGATGGGCATTGGTGAGCTTGTCTTATAATAAGCTTTACTGGATCTTTGCTCATACTCCCCCAGCTACGGAAGTCGCGGCCCAACTCGACATATGTACCATATCTGAGGCCCGCACCTCCGTATATCATTGATGTACGACTAAACACTGGCCAATATATTTTATTCGGGCTGAATGAACATCAACATACAGTTGCTGCCACCAAAAGCTTACCCGGACAACCCTTCAACATCACTCTGTACTAAGTTTGTGCACACGTCCACCAACAAGCTCAGATGTCCGGTCAATTGTGTTACGGTTCGTCTTCCGCAGGCGCTCTTACTCCTTGCTCTGACCCAAAGACAATTGCAGTGGACCCCTGAGGGCCGCCGGGTGCTGACAGGTTCCACGAGTGGAGAGTTCACGCTCTGGAATGGCCTGACGTTCAACTTCGAGACCATCCTACAAGCGCATGACAGCGCAGTGCGGGCCATGGAGTTCACGCACTCCGGTGCCTACCTGGCGTCGGCGGACCAGAGCGGCATCATCAAGTACTTTCAGCCGAACATGAACAACTTGACCGCGTGGACGGGGCACCGCGAAGCGATCCGTGGGCTGACTTTCAGCCCCGACGACAGTCGATTCGCGACGGCGAGCGACGATTCGACGGTCAGAATCTGGTCGTTCGAGGAAAGCCGCGAAGAGCGCGTCTTGACAGGTGAATACATACGCGTAACTGAAGAGCATGCTTCAATGGGCTAAATTCACCCTAGGGCACGGTTGGGATGTCAAATGCGTCGAATGGCATCAATCAAAGGGGCTCCTCGTCTCTGGAAGCAAGGACAACATGATCAAATTCTGGGATCCCAGGACAGGGACTTGTCTGTCGACGCTGTGAGTGCTATCTTCCCTTATCGAGTTATATTGCTGTACTCACTCCGACGTGCAGACACTACCACAAAAACACAGTCCAAGCCCTTTCGTGGTCTCCGAACGGGAACATGGTCGCAAGCGCGTCCAGAGACCAGACCGTGCGCGTGTTTGACATCCGGGCGATGAAGGAATTCCGGGTGCTGAAGGGGCACAAAAAGGAAGTCTGCTGTACGTCCCTTTCCCTTTCCCGGCGCCCGCACCAGCCCGTGCGGCCCCCGAGTTATCTTCGCTCACCAAATCATTTTGCAGCTGTCGCCTGGCACCCCGTGCACCCAATCCTGGTCACCGGTGGATCGGAGGGCGCGATCTTGCACTGGGACCTCTCCTCCTCCACCGACACGCTCGCGCAGTCCCCGTCGCAGCCGCCCGGCGCCCGTGCGACGCTCTCGCAGGCACACGACTCCAACGTCTGGTCGCTCGCCTTCCACCCGCTCGGGCACCTCATGGTCAGCGCGTCCAACGACCACACGACGCGCTTCTGGTGCCGCGAGCGCCCCGGCGACGCGACGTCCGTCTTCTCCGGCGGCGGGCAGAAGCCCCCCGAGGTCACGGACACCGCCGGGCAGGACGACGAGGACGAGAGCATGGTCCCCGGCTTCGGCTTCACGGGCGCGGGCGGCGGCCAGTGGTGGGGCAAGGAGGAGGACGGGGACACCTCGATGCAGCAGCACCCGGGCTTGCCGGACGCGTACCCCCGGCGGGGCGGCCAGGTCCAGGATGGCGGCGACGACTACATCCCAGGGTTCGGCGCGTCGGATGGGCCGGGGACGGTCACGGGCCGTCAGAACGGACCACTCCCCGCTCAGGAGGAGCTGTATCCTGGACCAGGAGATGGGGATGATTCATTCAAACGAGGCGGCCGCAATCGCTGGGGGCCTAGACGCGGGCGTCACTGAAGCTGACCCTCGTACTAACGGCTTTCCATGTACTCGATGACCGTCACGCATTGCGAGGATGTATCACGATCGTGAGGGATCATCACACAGAAGCACGAAAAGGTTGAAGGTCGTGAATTCGTGTCATCTTTATCGGGTGTAGACTACGGTTACTGGCGACACTATGCAGCAGACGAAATATGTACAGTACATCGTCGCCCTAAAGCGTCGAAGGGTGCTGCAGTATGTATGGTAGAATGTGTCCGTTCGTAAGGGAAATTAACAACGCTGCCCTAAAGGGGCCGGAACCAACGGGCGGGGTACGACACGCCCGTGAACACGCGTATGTAGTAGGTCCACCGTGGTACCGTATGCATCGTCTGCGGAATTTTCTAGCTGGAACGCTCCTCGGACTCAATATCATACACACGCAGGCGGAGACGTAAAAAGTCGTGGATCGTGGATCGTCATGCAGGAGCCGCGCGCGCGGGCACTAACTGCTCGCGGGCACGGCACGGGGTACAGGATGTCGGGGGGAGTACGTTCATGTATGGATGGGATGGATTGGGAAGGGTGGTGATGATAGACTGGATGTGTGGAGGGGGAGGCCATATATGCAAGGAAATAATGATAAACTGAGACAAGAGACAAAGACGAGACGAGATCGACGACCTGATAGGGCGATGTGGCGGGGATAGTGGAGATGCTGATTGCCATTAGGAAGCAAGGGATATAGGGGTGGGTGTCTGCGAGTCGACGATGCTCCGCGCGATGGGCGTCGACGCGCCGCTCATGTATGCGACGTCGTCGAAGCTGGGGGAGCGTGTCGGGGTGTTGCCAGGTGACAGGTGGTAATTCGACGTCGGCGACGAGAGCAACTCCTCAACGCTCGAAGCAGAGTGCGAACGCTGAATAACCTCTGGCTGCACGTCTAGGAGAGAATCCGAGCCGGTATAGAAGCAGAACCTGAAGGTAAGTTAGACAAGAATGAGAATCGGGCACGCCGCAACGACAGCTGTATACTCACTTATTCAAGAATACGTTGTAACTGGGATCGTTCGCCGGACTCTGCACCCTCTCCTGCCTCGCCAAATACCCAAACAAGCCCTCCTCAGGGGGCGACCCCGACGGCGAGCTCGACGCACTTGACTCCTCCGACTGGCTCGTCACCGACGGCGTCGACTCCTCGCTCCCTCCCCTCGTGATCGGCCACGGACCCAACAAGCCCGCGCCCATCCCTATCCCCACGCACACCGCCGGCGTCCTATACGTATCCACCGAACCGAACCGCGGCACCGCCTCCTCGCGGAACGCCGCGGGGAGCGCCTTCCGCGCACCGAACCCGGGCGTCGACGGGCTGAGGTCGAAGTAGCCGCGCTGGTGGTTGCGTCCGCGCACGCGCGAGAACGGCATGGGCGTCGCGCTCTCGCCGTCCTCCTCGTCGCTGCCAGAGTACAGCGCGACCTTCGGGATCGGCGGCGCGTCGTCGTCGGGGTCAAGGATGCGCGGGGAGCCACGCGTGAGCGGCGTAGAGTCTTCGACGACGCGCGGCCGCCCCAAGGTGCGCGGCGAAAACCGAGGGCGGTTGCGCGCGTAGCCGGGGGTGTGATACGCATTGGGCGACGTGGCAGAGGGGTACGTGCTCGTGCGCGTGTGCGCGGTCGGCGACGGTGACTTCCACGGCCGCTTGAATGACGCGGAGAGGTCGTAGCGCGCAGAGAGCGGCGTCGACGAGCGGAGGTTGAACGTGTCTGCGCGGGGCGAGGGTGACTTGCGCGCGGGCGACTGGGTGGAGGCGACCTTCTCGAGCTTGATGCGCAGGTCGGAGATGTTCTTCCGCTCGGTCTGCTCCTTCTCCGTCTCGCTCTCGCTCTGGGACAGGACCGCCGGGCGGGCGGGAGAGGGCTGCGGCGCCTCCAGATGTCTGGAGAACTTCACCTGGAAGTTCTCGCCGCCGTTGTTGTCCCAGATCTCCTTGCCATCGACCGTGTACCGGATCGCCATGAAGAGCGTCTTCTCCTCGATGCGAGCGAGCATGTCGTTGAGACGTATCGTGAACGCGAACACGTCGAACAAGCCGCCCTCGAGGGTGTGCACGTACCGCGCGGTGACCTCGCTCGTCGTCTGCCACCAATCGAACGTGAACCGCACCGCGACCCACTTCTGGAACGCGATGTTCTTCACACGCACCCGGCCCTGCACCGCCGCGCTGTCCGCGCCCAACGTGAGCTCCTCCAACGCACACTCCGCCGCCTTCCGCTGGGGCGTGTCCTTCGCAGGCATATTCATCACCTCCATCGCCAGCCTCCCCTTCTTCTCGCCAATGCGCTTCTCGTCCTCGCCATAGATGAACGCGGGGAAGTCGCTGTCCGTCCCGCTCGTGTCCGTCGTCGGGCTCCCGTCTCTGCTCACCGCGAGCGGCTTCTGCTCCGCAAGGAACAGCTTGACGTGCTCGAGCTGCGAGTCGAAATGCACGCTCTTGCTGGAATGCACCGGCGTCGTCGGCTCGCTCTTCGATAGGCTCGCCTCCGCCTCTGCGCCCCCTCCCGTGACGACGGAGAGGTCACCACGCACGACCGCGCGTCGCGACTTGAGGGACGACTTGAGGGGCTCGCCGGACTTCTTGCGCGTGAGCTGGGCGGAGACGTTGGACGGCACGCTCACGCTGACAGCGCGGCTGGGCGGCTCGACGCGTACTGCAGTCGGAAATTCGGGCAGACTGGTGACGACGGTGCCGTTGCCGGGGCGTGCGGGATCCCGCCGGAGGAAGACGGTCGCGGGGTCTCCGGGCTCAAGGGCCCCACGTGCGTCGGGAAAGCGACCTGCTCAGAGGGAGACGACGAACGTGCGCGGAGCACGGCGGGCGTAGGGGTGGACTCCTCGGGAGAACGCATCTTGGAGCCCATTCTGCTGCGGCGTTGGCGGGTGACGAAGAACTGCATGGACGAGTCGGAGCTGCTGGACGAACCTGAGGCTGAGGCTGTGCAGGGGGGTCGAGGGGTAGTCATCGCGGCGGCATGAGGAGGCGTAGGGGGCTGGACAACCAAGACAGTTGGCTTCGGCGGGCTCGGCGGCGAGTCGGGTATGGCCTTCGTGAATGAGAATCGTGAGTTAGATACGGATGGGCTGCGGCGCGGAATGCGGGGGAGCGCAGAGCCCGCACTGTTCGAATGCCGCGAGAATGAAGGCGGCATGTCAAGGATGGTCATGGTTGGGGGTAGTGCTGTGGATTGGGGTAGGCTGGCCATGGGGCTCATAAGGGACGTCGTATGTGGGTTACCGTGGGTGGGGTACGCTAAAATGAACAGTCAGTCAGTGGCTGGTTGACATTTCGGGCGAAATGGACGACAGGGCGTCGGCGCCGCTGTGTTCGGGATGGAGGACCGGAACTTACTGGGGATTTGACGTCGGACAGACGCTGGTCGTAATTTGCGGCCGCTGCGTCTGTGAGTCCCAACGGTCCAAGCGGGGGTGGGCGAGTAAATGCGCCGCGGATACGCAGAGCTAAGAGGGACTATATGCGTCAGCACGGTGGCTAACGGGCGGCCTGCGGCCCTATGCGGCTGACAGGGGAGCCACTCACTGCGATAAGTGTTGCGGTGCTGTGTGGTGTAGCACGCAAGGTGATTTCGCAGAGTGCTGGAGGAGCAGCGAGCCTCAGCCGGGGAGTCGAGGAGGGAGCTGGGGACTGGCTGATAACCTGTGGGGCAGCAAAAATTATATGAGGGCGACTATTATGTAGATCCGGTAAATAGACGCGACGGACCAGAGCACGCTTCTCGGACGATAAGATCCAGGAAGGCGAGGAGGAATCCGACTCGGGAGGTGGGGGAGACGTCCCCGGGCTGTGGGAGGAGGGCAGAGGACGAGGAGCATAAAAGGGCGGCCTGGTTGGGACAGACTCACGCACGTGAGCGTCGGTCTGGAGCGCCATCTCACTTGCATCTGAGGCACCATCCAGCCACAGCTGATGGCCACAGTCGCGACTGCCGTTTCCGGCACTCGCGCCCCGCCAGCCCGTCCCAACTCTATTCCTCAATCTGCTTTACGGCACCGTCCTCGACGACCTCGCTGCGCCCGCCGCCGTACGCGTGTCGCCCATCCTCCCCGCTCTGCTGTGCCAAGGCTCCTCCTGCGGACCCGCGCAGACAGCGATAAGAAGTTATGCTCAAGCTAACATTCGCGCGCACCGCATCCGCTCGAGACTCGGACTCGCAAATCAGACCACACCTCTAGGTCCGAATCTCACGCCAATCTTTCACTACTCTTGTTCTCCGCGGTCGAGTCTCTCCACTGACAGCGCACTTCTCGTCCAGGCTCTCCTGCACGCGCTCCCTGTATCGCCCGCTGACTTCCCTTAGTGCGCCGGCCTGCAGCCTATTTCTGCCAGTGTCGTTCTGGGTGTGCTCTCGAGCCCGCTCAAGACACTCACTCAGCAAAAGGTGCGAGCTCGCGACTTCCCTGATGTCGATAAGATGTACTACTGCAGGCCTTGTTTGGGCCGGACTGCACGTCATCCAGTCCAGACCGTCCGCGCGCCAGGAAATTTCTCAGGTCGTCACCGAGAGCGCGACCCGCTGCACCCCGGGGATGCGGGGATTGGCTGCCCATTGCGCGGTGGCGGGCCTCGCGCGCGGCCTACAGCAACACGAGCCCGGGGTGGCCAATCCGGGCAGCGAGCGCTGTGGAGCCCCTCACGCAGACGCGGTTTATGCGGGGAAATTTCACCCGCCGCCCTCGCCATCGATACAGTACCGGTTCGGGCAATGAGCTCATTTATTACTGCAGAGGTTTCCCGCCGCGAAAAGCAGCCGATGCGTTCCAGCGCCTCTCGCGTCCTACGGTCCTGGTCACCATGGCTGCTGCGCTGTCCTTCGGCGGGTCAGCTGTCAAGTCAGCTGGGCGACCGCCCATACGTTGGTGCGCAAAACTGTCGTTGGTGTGTTGCTGAACTCTCTCGTCGATGCTCCACCTTGTACATGATGAGGATGATCCCTACGTACCCAACCTGTTGGTAGTGGATGGTAAGTAGTTGATCGACCACTTGTCATGCTGCCCGCCTCGTCAGGACGCCACATCGTCATTTGCTCATCATCACGGTATACCTGTTTCGAGGTCGACGTGCGTCCTCCGAACCGACGCGTTGTACGCGAATCATTCGTGCTTGTTCCACGACATCCCCGCTCCATATTCAGCGGGGACGAACGGCTAATCACTGCTCCAAGAGATGTGTTCCTCCACGTTCTGCCGCTGACATTCCGTCTGTCCTAGACCGCTTCGCAATCGCCGTCGCCGTGCTCGCTCAAGCCAGCTGACGCGACTTCTCAGCATTCATCGACGGTGCCCCGTGCAGGGTGAGTTCAGACATGATGCTGTGCACGACGCAACAAAACATCACGAGCTGCCCGCTCTCCCACCGCTTTCCATCATCGCTCAACGTCTGATGCGACAGATTCACGCACGTCTGTCGCACTCTACTCAGTGGGTCCAACTTCCCGTGATCCTTGATTCCTGGGCGAGCTTGCTGTTCAGCAGGCGGACATCTGATGCGACTGGGCTCGTGCGGCGGCTCTGGTGACAGTGGCTTTCCCGGACTAATGTGGGTCTCAGAGCCGCAGGTCTGACCAGCCCGAGTCCTTTCGTAGCAAGGACGGGCTGGGTGCGATAATATGTCTCGTCGAGGCATTGTGGTCGGTGTGGTTGCATGTTGTCTCTGATATATCTCATTGTATTCAGATCTCTTGGTATAGAGAACTTGTGCTCACTGTTCATTCTTGACTGTGAGCTCTGATGCATAGTGCTGATGTGCATAAGAATCTCGTTACGATCATATGTGTTACATGTTGTGAGTGTTATGCTATACATGTAGTGAAGGACTACCTAAGAGCCATATAGGAAGTATGATGCATGCTTGGCCATATAGTGTCAGAGTGTAGGTCAATAATCCTACCATTCCATCATCATTCCTGAGGCCATCCCTCTACTTCAGCTTCCACACCCATGAGGGCTGGTAGCTCACACCAATGTCCATGAATCCCATCCCATCTCTTCCTACACAGCATCCTCCAGCATGGCCTACAGATATCTTCATACCCTCCCTCATTCAAGTCTACCCAGTGAAATGGCTTATAGGCACACATTTGCCTGGTCTCCACAAAGAGGTGTGCTGCCCTCTTCATGACAGGGAGACATATGTTCCTAGTTTTGCAAGATGTAGAGGGTACCTTGATGTCAAGCACCCACATGTTGGTCTTGGCATTTAAGTTCATCAGGTTCTCCTTCCCTTCAAGGACCTTCTCAATGTCTTCATTTGAAAGCTTGTCCAGCTTTCCATCTTCTCTGTGGTATCCATGCAGGATGGTCTTGATGGGAAGTTGACAGACATAGTAGAGGGCCGCAGGGAGGATGGTGGGAATGCCCAATTTCCTGGCCAAGACAACAGCTGAAAGGGCTGCCTCTACAGGCTCAAACTCTGAGTCATCTCCCCACCACTCATTGAATGTGGTTGGGAACCTGAATTGCAGATGGGGCATTGCCAGTTGGGTGATGGTGGGCACTTGATACTTGGCTGCAAGGTCCAGCAGTGCCAAGACAGTGAAAATTGGGAGTTTGGCTCCTTCAAAGAACCTATACAATGACAATCCTATGAGCATCAATAATCATTAATGTACACATGAAGCCTGACTCACCCAGGCCCTTTGTACAATGCAGACAACAATACTGCCATGTCATCTGCATGATCAACAACTGCCATTACTGGACAGTTGTCAAATTTGACAAGGCCCTCCTCTGGAGGAATTTGAGCCAGGTGGTCTTTGAATACCCCTGAATGCTCTCGTAGGATGTGCATGTGGACACGGAAAGCCGTTGAGTTGGGCAGTGGCCCTGCTGCAATGACTATATCACCATCATTGTGATAATGTTCGGCATGCCGAACAAGTTTACCTGATTCAAAGTCAGTTTCGGGTTGGCTCACTAGTGTGGCGATATACACATACGAAAATCGGGGTCCAGTAGAGCAGCCATGACCCGGAGATTTCTAGGTTACTATCCCGACTGGGAGTGGCACTCTGTGGCAGTGGCAAATGGCTAAGTTAGAGGGCCTGTGGTTCGCATTCAGGAAGAGACTCACCACTATGGGATATGTGTTTAGTCCCAAGTGATTTTTCGCGTTGAAGTGTTGTCGTTGCGGACTACACGACGTCGACTTCTGAAAGCTGGAGTTGTGGTAGTTCACAGGTTGCTCACGAGGCGCGCAGCGGCGATCGCGCGACGCGTCAAGCGCCAACCCAACGCCCGGGCCAAACCGACTCGGACGTTCCCTCAAAGACGCGCTGTGGACTCGGATGTGCTCTCAATCTCGCGAGACTAGTACTGGCAGTCGAACCACTACGTAGCACACAAGCAAAAAAAGGCGTTGATCAACGGTGTGGGTCGGGTTTTGCGGTATGCCGGTAACGTACAGTCACACTGAACAAGGGCCGAGGCGGTGCAGTGTATGATCATGTCTGTACGGCGTGGCCATCAACACCGACGTGCACGTTCATTACATACTTGTTGAGCCTGGTACGTGTGAGCTTGTTCGTTATGACCACAGTGGTACTGATCCTGCAGTAGCATATATACACCGCAAGTACCTCGACACTCTCGCTTTACATCTTGCCACTCAGCCCCGATCGCCGTGGGGCTGCTCATCTCGCATACCCCTTACGATGCCTGCAAGTGTCGGCAATGAGACTAGCCTCGAGCCCTCTGCACGCGAACCCCAGCGATACAAGCATCCGTTCACCGAAGATGGGGAGTGGGAGTATTACGAGGACGAGGACGAGGACCCTACGGACAAGGACACGCCGCGCACGCTCGTCGAGCTGCGCATGTGCGCTCTGAGCGCGGCGATACGCGAGAAGCCGGAATGGTGGGTGAAGTTTCGGGATGCGGAGGTGCGAGCGAAATGGTCGGAAGAGATCAAGGAGCAGCAGAGAGGCCTACATCGGAGCTTGCAGCTCACGGACAATATGGTGCGTGTGCTTCGATGATGTATCGGCGACGTTGACTCGAGGACGGTATAGATCAATTACATTTTCGGTGAGCTGGAGGCGTATGCGACCCTCAGAGATTTGGAGACAGGCATTGAGGTTCGGCGGGGACTCACAGCGGATGACACGCTGACTTACTTGTTACTCGCAGGCCGGCCCATACGAGCGGATCTGGCAGTCAAATCAACTCATTCCCGCCTCCCTCAAAGCCGACCTCGTCTCAGCAATCGCCTTCTCGACTCTGTCCCTGACTCCGAGAAGGACTGGCATCCAGGATCCGACGGCAAAGTGCTCGATCTCGTGCACCCCTCGCTGTACCCCGTCGTCTACGGGCGTACCGCAGCACGCGGCGCTCAGGAGCCCCTCCTACCCCGCGCAACGAATGTCATCCCTATGTTCAGGTCAGAGCGGTTCCAATGGCTGCCTTCGGAGTTTCATGTCGAGGAGGATGGCACTGTCCGCTTGGTCTCACCATACATCAACACATACACCCAGACGATCACAAGGCACTCACGGACATCATCCCGAAAGTGATGGAGAAGGCCGTGCTGATGTATGAGCGGGTATTGTCTGACCTTGCGAGGGAGACGCAAGTCCCCACGCGCCTGGACCTCCAGGGGCACAAGTTCCCGCAGTGCGTCTGGCCAGATGAAGTACGTCATGCGTGCTTTCTTGACATGTCCAACATAAGCTCACTCCACCAGTACGAACCCGGCCCAGATGAGGAGACTTACAGTGGCTACATGACGGAACACACCCGGCTGCAGGCGGAGGACCGCAAACGATGGGAAGCGGACGAAGAGAAGTTTTACGAAGACAGCCGCAAAGCCTTCCTGGACACTCACTCCAGCGTAGACGGTTGGCGAGCCCCGCCATACCCCGATTACCAGGAGGTCGACCATTACGGACGATTCGAGCAAGAGTACCTGGATGCAGCGGCGGACACCAGTGGCCGGATAGCAAGCCCAGCTATAGCGGCGGCCTTGACGGCGTGAAGAAGACTGTGAACTTACGGGGAAGACGCTCCAAGTGATTGTGAAGCTCGCTAACATTGTCCTAACACCTGAGAAGCCTGTATACGGAGGCGGGACATGGCACGTCGAAGGCAAGTCGCGCCATCGAACAATTCAATTGCATATCAGTGTGGAACTGACCTGACTCCGTGCAATGCAGGAATGGACAACGAGGCGATAGTATCGACATTCATCTATGTGAGTCATTACGACTCTATGGATTCCCTTCACACTCACGATGCATCCAGTACTATGATACGGAAAACATCACAGAGTCGACTCCTTCCGCAACGCCGTGAACGAGCCGCGTTACCACGAGCAAAACGACATCTACTGTATGCGTCATCTCTACGGGATCATACAGTAAGCTGTCTGGTATGCCACCCGAAACACTGCTAAATTTGAATTCGCTGTCTAGTTTCGAGCAGTGCGTACAAGTCGTCGGGCAAGTCACCACCAAGCAGGATCGGTGCATCGCCTTCCCGAACCTCTATCAGCACCTTGTCTCGCCGTTCCGCCTCATTGACCCAACCAAGCCGGGGCATCGCAAGATCCTCGTCTTCTTCCTCGTCGACCCGAACATCACCATTCCGTCTGCGACAACGGTGGGTCCGCAGCAGGAGGCGTGGATTCGCCGCGCAGCGGAGAGCAAGGATCTGTGGCGGAGGCTCCCAGTCGAGTTGCATGAGATGATCTGGGAGCGGCTCGATCCGATGACGGAGGAACAGGCGAAGAAATACCGGGAGGAGCTGATGAAGGAGCGGACACTGAACGTCCAGACTGTTGAAGAACAGCGGTTCGGGCGCTCGTTCAACCTCTGGTGCGTAGGCTTCGTGGTCAGCTGCAGTGCGTAGGCTGACGTGCTGATGCCGTGTCCCTAGTGAACACTGAGGAGCTCGAATGTAACGGACGAGGTGCAGAAACTGTGTAGTTCGATGCGAGGACTCGGAGGGGTTTGGAATCGGTCGCGGCTGCACAATCCTTTGCAATGCTCCCTCATCTGTCTAATCCAATACATCTGATCCGAGTGCTCAAACTAGACAGCCTCGCTGCAAATATTATAGGACGCAGGATCTGAGCCCTACAATCGGTTTGTGAGATTCTGCTCCGCAATGATCATGCAGACATTGAACATGGCACGATCGCAGCGGACGACCGACCGACTTATAGCGTCTGTCAACTTCGTAGTCAGGTTGTATCTTGTCAAATGTCTTCTGCTTTCGCCGCTCGAGTTCGTCAGTGAATCATGTATGTTAGCATGCTGTTGATAGGTGTGTGCACCTGACAAGTGTTGAGCCAGAACGGTTAGCTGCAAACAGTCCACTGTCCGACGACCCGAGAAAGTTGTATTGAGAATCGCCACCGTCTGGACGACCTTGTCTATAACCGGTACAAAATAGATTTCGTGAACGCCGCGCGGAACCGTACAGCGGTCGAGCTCAGCACCATTAGTGGCTCCGACGAGATAACCCATATGCCTGAAGCAACCGGGATGACGACGGCAGCCACCATGCCGGCCGTCCGCCCACACCACCCTTCCACCGACCCAACACGTCCCTCGCCCACGTATTCCACAGCACCCTCACGCCCTCTGCCGCGTGCGTCGCGACGACGGCCGTGAGTGCGAAGTACCCAAGACCCGCGCGCCACGGCCACGCATGGAGCGCGTACTTGACGTATTCGTAGTCGAGCTCTGCGGGCGAAAGCGCGAGAACGGGCGCCGCGGCGTCGGCGGGGTGCACGCGGTGCGTGAGGAAGTGGCCGAGGACGAGCAGGCCAGCAGCGTACCCGGTGAGGCTGAGTGCGCTCGTGGGGCGGCGCGCGGGCCGGGGTGCGAGGAACCGCTTGGACAGGCTCGAGAGCGGGTGGACGAGGAGCGGGAGGAGGACGAGGTATTTCTCGCCGAGGGGCGTTTGGTAGTATTCTCGGCCGAGGAGCTGCAGGAGGGTGTGGGTTAGCAGGCTGCTTGCAAAGTAGGTGTCATCATCAAAGGGTGTTATGTTGGATGCGACTCTGGGCCGTGGACATTTGTACAGTTCACAGCGTTGGCCCGAGTGCAGCCGGGCCGAAAGGTATCAGACATTGGACGGGTCACGATACTTGGCCGACGTCGCAGGATCAAGGAATCCGTGGAGAACCGACGCTAGGTGCGACCTCGACATAGCAATACAAGCATGAATGATTGCTTGATAGCCCTGTAGAGCGTCGGAAGACGCACTAGACGAGGTCGATCTAACTTCAAAAGCAGACTGCGGTGGTGCATCTAATCAATTCAAACGAGCTGCCAATCGCATGGCCGTCACGACGGACCTGAAGCATTCAGCATTCCACCACAGCTGTCGTATCTCAAGGCACCGACTGAATCGATAATTGAATATGATTCTAGTCTGTCGCTACCTGACAGGTCCCAGGCTGTCCGATGGCAGGAGCGTAGACCGCGCTACCGTCGCCTGTTGCTATCCAGCGTTGACGATGCAGAGGCCCTAAGTGAGACGCATCGCGATAAGTAGGCCTTTACAACGTCGATTGTATGAGCACCCAGATTGTATTCAATGCTGATGCGGACGCGATCGCTCGCCCCGCCAGAAACCTTCCATATCGTGACATTGCGACGGCGGGCATATGGTGCCTCGAGGGCCCATTTCAGGGAGCTCTCGCGCATTGAATGGACCGCGTGTATTTAGCGTTTTGACACGTACCATCACCTGCGAGGACAGCGACGTGCCGCCCAGGCTCGCTAGGGCGGGCGCCGTCAGATGAATTAGCACAAAGGTGGTAATGAACGGAGTCGAGCCATGAGAGACCCGGGTGAGGACAGACAGAGCTGCACGGCGCCAAGTGGGAGGTGTTGAGGGCGAACCTGAGTCGTCGGGGAGAGCAGACATGAACGCGGTTGGTATGCGCGGGACCGGATACTGTATCAAGTTAGACTGTGCGTACCAATCCCGATCCCGATTAGGAACGGGACGAAGCCTTTGGTAAACAGCACCAATCACCTTCTGTGGCGTGAGACTCCGCATCTCCTTCACATGTGGCCTCGATCAGAGTTACGCGTTCGTCGCGATATGAGCTCAAGCTGTCGGAGAAGACCTTCGACACTGAAAATTCTCATTTGTTAGTATTGTGGACAGTTACATGCAGGCATCGCACCTAGCAGTGCATCCTTCACGGCGTCCTTTGGGTGAGTCGAGTTTCTGATACCCATAGTCACTATAATGATGCACACTACACGGTACAGCATGATACACTCCACGGTCGTGGCACAAATTGTGCACCTAGGGACTCCGTATGACAGAACATAACTTCGATGGACAGGTCGGCAACGGCGCGAATGGCCGCATTCCTACCATGGTGTTTGGGCGAGATGAGTCGAGTCACAACGTACGTCTACTATGACACGATACTCAATTGCAGTACTACACCGTGTCCAGTCAGTACAGGCGTCCATCTTGGACCTCTTCTTGATATCCTGACTGTAAGGAGTTGACGAGGGCCGCTAAGTAACACTCCATGGGTGATTTTCAAGAAGCCGGCTCTGTCCACGCGTCAGTCTTCTCATCCAAAACGCGGTCATTCTGACTGCAGCACGGTCACCGCAATGATGCGGCGGTGCGCAGGCGATGCACGGTTATCGTGGCTGTCTCCAGACGAGCCGTACAGTTCTTGGAACCGGAAGCCTGATTATCAGTGTTGCCGTGGGCGCAAATCTGGTGTACGTCTGCATTTCGGTACGTAATCTCGTGGCCAGTGCCAGTCGTGATGGGCTTACACTATGATACAATGATATATAGTCTCAGCGTGTCCGATGCTTGTGCTGAGCGTATTCCCCCTGTATCTGATCGCTTCCATCCTGCCTTGCTGTAGGTCTACAAAGATCTTCTCATTCGTACAACCGCTTTGACCATGGCCTCAAGCGACAACGACGGACCCACTGCTAACCAGACGACCAAGCGATACATGCACCCGTTCACAGAAAACCAGAGTGGGATTACTACACCATGGAGGACGATGACCCTACAGACAAGGACACGCCGCGTACGCTCATCGAGCTGCGCATGTGCGCCTGAGCGCGGCCATTCGCGAGAAGCCAGAATGGTGGGTGAAGTTCCGGGACGAGAACGTGCAGGCGAAGTGGAGAAACGAGATCAGGGAACAGCAGAAGGATCTGCGCCGCTGTCTGCAGCTCACGGACAACATGGTGCGTCTTACGGTTTACCGAGGTCGTTCAAGGAAGAAGGGGTGAAGACGATATCATAGATCAACTACATCATGGGCGAGCTCGAAGCTTATGCTGCGCTTCGAGACCCAGAGACAGGCATCGAGGTCGGTCGACATAAACTCGCTATACAGTGTCCCCCTGCTCATGTCCGATTGGCAGGCTGGTCCCTATGAGCGGATCTGGCAGTCTGATGAGCTCATTCCCGCCTCCCTCAAAGCCGACCTCGTCTCAGCGATCGCCCCGCTCGAATCCGTCCCTGACTCCGAGAAGGACTGGCATCCAGGATCCGACGGCAAAGTGCTCGATCTCGTGCACCCCTCGCTGTACCCTGTCGTCTACGGGCATACCACAGCTCACGGTGCTCAGGAGCCCCTGCAGCCCCGCGCAACGGATATCATCCCTATGTATAGGTCAGAGCGGTTCCAATGGCTACCTTCGGACTTTCGTGTCGAGGAGGATGGCTCCGTCTGCTTGGTCTCGCCCTACATTAACAATATCCACCCGGAAGATCACGAGGCGCTCACAGCGATGATCCCGAAAATGTTGGAGAAGGCCGTGCCAATGTTCGAGAGGGTGCTCTCCGACCTCGCGAGGGAGACACAGCTCCCTACACGCCTGGACCTCCAGGGGCACAAGTTCCCGCAGTGTGTCTGGCCAGGCGGTCCGGAAGTCAGTTCCTTCTACTTCATCAACCTCGACCATGCCCGCTAACCCTCATTTAGACCGAGCACAACTATGAATGGGATTTCGATGGTAGTTACTACGACGAGGCCGAGCGGCTTGTGAACGAGGACCGCAGACGGTGGGAAGCGGAGAAGGCCCAGTTCGTAGAGGAAGCGCACGCGGCATGGCTGGCCAATCGTTCCAGCGAGGACAGGCAGTGGCAGGAGCCACCGTTCCCGCCTTTTGTGCACGTCCCGTACTGTGATATGTGGCATGAAGAGTTTTTGGACAAAGCGCCAGTGGAGCACCGCTGGCCGGAGAGCAAGCCGAGCTATACGGATAGCCTGGACTGCGTGAAGAAGACGAAAGATCTGCGAGGGAGGACGCTGCAGGTGATCGTGAAGCTGGCGAATATTGTGCTAACGCCTGAGAAGCCTGAGTACGGAGGAGGCGCGTGGCACGTCGAGGGTAAGTCGGGTTGGCATGGCGTACCACATTCCCTGCTGATTCCTATGAAATACAGGGATGGACAACGAAGCGATCGTCTCCACGTTCATCTATGTGCGTGAGGATAGCTATAGCCCTGCGACATCCTGCATGTTGACTAACATCGCACCCAGTACTACGATGCAGAAAACCTCACCGAATCGACGCTGTCCTTCCGCAACGCCGTCAACGAGCCCCGCTATCACGGCCAATGCGACTATTACTGCATGCGCGGTCTCTACGATATGTCAGCGTACGTCTTCCAGCCCGCCTCCCTCCACAGCCGGCTAACAAGCCCCTCTCCAGAGACCAGTTGTGCGCACAAAACGTCGGCTACGTCACCACCAAGCAGGACAGATGCATCGCGTTCCCGAACCTATACCAGCACCTCGTCTCGCCGTTCCGCCTCGCCGACCCCACGAAGCCGGGGCATCGCAAGATCCTCGTGTTCTTCCTCGTCGACCCGAACATCACCATCCCGTCCGCGTCGACGGTGGCTCCTCAGCAAGAGCGGAGGATCCGCCGCGCAGCGGAGGGGTCAGAACTGTGGTGGCGGCTTCCGAATGAGGTGCACGAGATGATCTGGGAGTGGTTGGACCCGATTACGGAGACCCAGGCGAGGAAGTATCGGGAGGAGCTGATGAAGGAACGATCGCAGACCGAGAAGGCGTGGGGCAGGGACAGGTTCGCACTGTTCTTCAACCTGTGGTGCGTGGGCTTCTATCTTCAGCGATATGGATGCGCCGCCCTTCTGACTTCGTTGTTGTGCTTGTCTTCAGTGAACACTGATGCGTGAGGTGTTTGCCGAGATGGTGGAGTCTGCAGCCTTGTCTGCAGCCGGTCAGAACTGTCATACTCGGAGGGGGAGAGCGCGAGGACTGGGGTAGCGGCGTCCGCGGGGTGCACGCGGTGCTTAAGGAAGTGGGCAAGGACGAGCAGGCTGGTGGTGTATCCGGTGAGGCTGAGGCCGCCACGACGGACCTGAAGCATTCAGCATTCCACTACAGCTGTCGTAACTCAAGGCACCGACCGAATCGACACAGTACTTGAATCTGATTCTGGTCTGGCGCTACATACCTGACGAGTCGCAGACTCCGCAGACCGCGTTACCGTCGTCTGTTGCTGTCCAGTGGAGAGGACCTAAGTGAGGGTCAACGCATCACGATAAGTAGGCCGTTGAACATCATGTTGTATGAGCACCCAGGACTGTGTTCACTCTGATGCGTACGAGGTCGCTCTCCCTGTCAGAAACCTTCAACGCATTGTAACACTGCGACGGTGAGCTGAAGCATATGGCAGATGGTATTGAGCAGACAAACGGTACATGTGCCGCATACCGCCAAGGGCATTTGTGATAATTCGCCACAGTGCAGTGTTACTCCTTTAAATTGCCGTATATATTCAAGTAGACTTTGTGAACGCTGCACGGAATCGTACAGCGGTCGAGTTCAGCACCATTAGCGGCTCAGATAAAATACCTCACACGCCCGAAGCAACCGGGGCGACTACCACCGCGCCCTCTGCCGCGTACGCTGCGACAGCGACATGTCGCCCAGGCTCGCTAAGGCAGGCGCCATCAGGGTGAGTCAGTACTCTAAGGTGGTTATGGGGGAATGGAGTCGAGCCATGAGAGAGTCGGGTAAGGACAGACAGAGCTACACGCCGCCAAGTGTGAGGTGTTGAGGGCGAGCGTGAGTCGTCGGAGAGACTAGACATGAACACAGTTGGTACTACCTGTACTTACTTACCGTCAATGACCGATAGGAATGCTCGCGCGCGGGAAGCAGTCCGATATTCCCGGAATTGGGAAGATGATGGTGATCAAATGATGATAACTTGCACATTTCTAAAATAACCGCCACAAGCAAACAAGTCGTCCGGAAATCCTGTTGATGGTATACATTCGTAGTCTCTTGGGGAGGTGTTGTAGTATATGTCAGATGTTGAGGTACTGTGTGCAGTTGGTTGGTTGGGAGGACGAGGCCTCGGGGACCGCTCAAGCGCTCAACGGCTCAACGGGGGCACGTGCAGTCGCGGGGCCAACGCACAGTGGAACCGAAGAGTCGGCCCCTGCGACGTTCCGTCCGCTCGTCTGCGACCATTCGCCAAGCTCGCCCGAGTCGCCGTCGGCGGACACGTCTCCCAGCTTCAGAACGTCGCATGCATAGATCTGGAAGGTCTGTGACGGGACAACGGGGGCTGCGCGAATGACTGGACATGTCCGCGGAATCCGTCGGACACAACTATATACTTGGTTTCCTCGCTTACTGCAGCTATTCATGGCCTGAACCTTGCGTCCTTCCTCCATGTCCCACTGCCACCGTGCCCTCCAGCACAACGACGTCCTGCATGAGGTCTTCACCTGGCTCACGCCCCCACTCCTCCGCGGCGACCTCTCGCCCGAGGAGGAAGAGATCAGACACAACGCGAGACATGACCTCACCAACATCGCCCGGGTGTGCAAGGCCTTCTCGGAGCACGCGCTCGATGCGCTCTGGAGGGAGCTCGACGACCTACTTCCCGTCATGCAACTCTTGACCGAGTCTCACGACTTTGACGGGGACGGCACAGCGGTGGGCGGACTTGCGGGGGGTCAGGACGTATCGGTGAGTAATCCCTTGGATCTCAGCACAAGTCCCACTCTCACACAGCACTTCGCCCAGCTTATCTCTGAGAACGAGTGGATGCGCTTCCGGCACTATGCCAGAAGAGTTCGCGTCATCCGCTCGTCTGGCTTCGGGACGTTCGAAGCGTCCATGCTGCTGCACCTCGCTCGCCGCAACGCAGACAAGGCCCTCTTCCCGCGTCTGCGGTGTCTGACGCATACGGTCAGATCGAATCTCGACACCGGCCTGCTGTCGCTAGTGACACCGACGCTCGAGGAGGCCAAGCTCGAGTTCTGCGGCGAGACTTGGTACGGACTCGACACGGAAGAGTCGCCCGCCATCGCACGCAAGCTGCGGGACTATGCCGTACAGTTCTGTCTGAGTACGGTATGTTCGAATGCGCCAGAGCTCCAGCAGCTCACCATCACCGGCCTGGGTCGCATCTCTTCGCTTTCCCCGCTCGTTGCGTGCAATCGCCTCCGGCGACTGCACGTCCATGACGTCGTGCTTAGTCCGCGATCGCTCCGCACCCTGGTCTCCCTGGATAGTCTGCACGAGCTGGACATGTCCTTCGAGCGCACAAACTGCGACCCGTCTGGTGCTGGCTTGGCTAGCCTGCAGAGGCTATCGCTCTCCGGACCGATGTGCCAAATGCCCACCATCCTCGACACCGTGTCGTCCACCCACGTCCGTGCAGTGCGCATCTCGGACGCCTCCAACAAAGCGACCTACCAAGAATGCACAGAGTGCATCCAGGCCATCTCCAAGTTCCCCCTCCTCGACTCGTTCCACCTCGCCGCCGACAACGTGTCCGTCGACGACGACGTCCCCACTAGCGTCCCGCTCACCGGGCTGCTCGCACCGCTCCTCCCGCAACGTCGCCTGCGCACGCTCTCCGTGAGCCGCTGGCAGCCCGGCGGGTTCATACTCGGCGACGACGACGTCGAGACGCTCGCCTCCGCCTGGCCCGACATCGTCTCGCTCGCCCTCGCCGTAAACCGCGCCGATGTCGTCCCCACCCTGCACTCGCTCGTCGTCCTCGCGCGCGCGTGTCCGGCCCTCCGCGCACTCGAGCTCCCCTCGATCACGATCGCCTCCGCGGAGCAGCTCCGCCTTCCTGTCGTGCCGCACCGCCTGCGCACCTTCGAGGTCGGCGACCCCGACCGGCGCATGGAAGACTTCGACGCGGCGGAGGTCGCGCAATGGCTGTTCGCGCTCTTCCCGCGGATCAGCATGCCCGGGGAGAGCGAGGACTATCCCGAGTTTTTGGCGAGGCTGCTGGGCGAGCTGCAACGTTTGCGGCGCGAGGCCCCGCCGTCGACCGACTCGGCCCGGGGTCTGAGGCAGGGGAGGGAAGCGCTGCTTCCCTTGAGTCGTGCCAGTGACGCCGTGGCCTGGACTCGCGATCGTACTCTCGCGATCTCAGTACATTTGTGCTTCTGTCCGGGATGGACAGAGTGTAATCGGGGACGGAGGCGCTTGAGTGCTTTGAGCGCGTGCCTGTGGGTCCGCGGGCGAGTCCCCGTTTTGTGCCTCTCGTTCTGTGGCGGATGCGCGGCGCAGATCATGTTCTTGCCCGGACCTGGACGTGCGCATTGGGCCACAGATACGCGAAAAGTGGCGGGCGCGCGGGATGCAGCGGAAAAGAGGTTCAATCTGCGCGGGGTCTCCTCCGACGTTTGGACGGCGTGATGACCGCTCGGCGTTGGCAGGGCTGCTTTGGCTTCGTGGATTGCCCGAGAATGGTCGCGGCTCAATTGAGCGCAAGTCTTGCTGTTATTGGGAATACAGTTCGTCTTGTGTCGCCCCTGGAATCCTCCATGGACGATGGCGTTTGGCAGCGGCACCATGGCCTTGCATACACATGCGCCTCTTGTGGGCTCAGCACCATCTGAGTGCTAGTCAAATCTACACGTCTTGGCGGACACCCCACGCATCAGTGTTCGCTAAAGGACAAGGGATGTCAGAAGGCCAATACATGCCACTGATGACAGAGGCCCACGCACCACAGGTTGAAGAACTGCCCGAACCTTGTTTTGTCGACCGCCCTCGCGGCCAGCGTTCGTTCGTTCGTCAGCTCCTCCCGATACTTCCTCGCCTGCCTTTCCGTAATCGGGTCCAGTAGCTCCCAGATCATCTTGTGTACTGCCTTCAGAAGCCTGCACCACAGCCAGCGGATCCACAGTTCCTGCTTAGGAGCCACTGTAGATGCGGACGGGATGGTGATCATGTTCGGGTCGACGAGGAAGAAGACTAGGATCTTGCGATGTCCCGGCTTCGTGGGAGGCGGAACGGCGAGACGACGTGCTGGTAGAGGTTCGGGAATGCGATGCATCGGTCTTGGTTGGTAGTGACGTTGCCGACGTTTTGCGCACACCTTTCGTTTCTTAGGAGGAGCTCGTCAGTTGGCTGTGGAGGGAGGTGGGCTGGAAGACGTACGCTGACATCCCGTAGAGGTGGCCCATGCAATAGTGTTCCCATTAGCCGTGATAGCGGGGCTCGCGGACGGCGTTGCGGAAGGACAGCGTTGATTCGGTGATGTTTTCTGTATCGTAGTACTGAGTGCAATGTTAGTCAACACACAGAATGCCGCAGGGCCGTAGATATCTTCGTGCACATAGGTGAACGTGGAGACGATAGCTTCGTTGTCCATCCCTGTTTTCGTATAGAAGGCTTCAGCAGCGAATGTGGTATACCGAGCATGCCCGACTTACCCTCGACGTGCCACGTCCCCCTCCGCACTCAGGCATCTCAGGTGTCAGAACGATATTCACCAACTACACGATCACCTGCAGTGTCCTCCCTCGCAAGTCTACCGTCTTCACGCAATCGAGACCATCCGCATAGCTCGGCTTGCTCTCCGGCCAGCGGTGCTCCGCCGGTGCGTTGTCCCAAAACTCTTCGTGCTAACTGGTACGGAACGTGCACAAAAGGCGGGAACGGCGGCTCCTGTCACTGCTCATCCTGCGATTCGTCGCGTGTGCTGCCTCCAGAACTTGAACTGAGCCTTCTCCGCTTCCCAGTGTCTGCGGTCCTCCGCCAAGGATTGCCGTGTATTCTAAAATAGCGTGAGTTTATCTCGGGGTCCATTGTGGGCTCAATCTAGATGAGCGTGAGCGGGCACAGTCGAGGATAATGAAGCAAAAGGAACTCACTTCCGGACCCAGACGCATTGCGGGAACTTGTGCCCCTGGAGGTCTAGCCGTGTGGGGAGCTGTGTCTCCCTCGCGAGGTCGGAGAGCATCCTCTCGAACATTTGCACGGCCTTCTCCAACACTTTCGGGATGATCGTTGTGAGCGCCTCATGATCTTCCGGGTGGATGCTGTTGACGTATGGCGAGACCAAGCGGACGGCGCCTCCTCGACATGAAACTCCGAAGGCAGCCATTGGAACCGCTCTGACCTGTACATAGGGATGATATCCGTTGCGCAGGGCTGGGGGGCTCCTGAGCGCCGCAAGCGGTGGTATGCTCGTAGACGATGGGGTACAGCGAGGGGTGCGCGAGATCGAGCGCTTTGCCGTCGGATCCTGGATGCCAGTCCTTCTCGGAGTCTGGGACAGACTCGAGCGGGGCGATTGCTGAGACGAGGTCTGCTTTGAGGGAGGCGGGAATGAGCTGATCAGACTTCCAAATCCGCTCATACGGACCAGCCTGTGAATGGAAATGAGAAAAGTGCATTGTATAATGGGATTATGGGGCCGACCTCGGTGCCTGTCTCTGGGTCACGAAGGGCAGCATAGGCCTCGACCTCACTCATGATGTACTTGATCTATGACGCTCCCTTCACCCGTCCTCGCGCGAATGACCTCCGAAATCAGACGTACCATGTTGTCCGTGAGCTGTATACTGCGACACAGATCCTTCTGCAGTTCCTTGACATCATTCTCCACTTCGCCTGCACGTTCTCGTCCCAGAATTTCACCCACCACTCCGGCTTCTCGCGGATGGCTGCGCTCAGAGCAGCTCAATGAGCGTACGCGGCGAGTCCTTGTCTGTGGGGTCGTTGTCCTCTGCCATGGCGTAGACAACCCACTCTAGGTTTTCTGTGAACGGGTGCATGTATCACCTGGGTGTGCTCAGCTGGTTAGCAGGGTCCGTTGCTGTCACTTGAGGGCGGGATTGAGGCGGTGTATGGAATGGAGAAATCCTGTGTGGACCTACGGCAAGGCAGCATGCAAGCGATCAAAGGCGGAAGGCGAAACACTGAGCACAAGCATCGAACACGCTGAGGATATATAAGTTAAGCCCCAGGCCTGGCACTGGCTGGCACGAGATCACGTACCGAACTGCAAACTGCAGACCTATATACACCAGATTTTCGCCCACGGTAGCAATGATTATCAGGCTTCCGTTTGCAGGAAGTGTATGGCGAAATCCACGATAACCGTGCATCGCCGGCGGCGCACCGTGACCGCCGCATGATTGCGGTGCAGTCAGGATGACTGTGGTTCAACTGTGGTTGGAAGATAAGACATTCGCGTAGGCAAAGCCACACATGCACTGGTGTCGCGACTGTTAACGTACGCTTTATGAGGGTGTATGGTTCTCATCATCTCCTATCGTTACTTACACTGCATGAAGAAAGGGTAGACGTTTGTACTGACGTACGAGACACGGTGTTGTCTTGCAATCGAATATCAGCCATAGTGCACGTCGTGATTCGTCGTTGTAGTGATTAGGTTCGACCCATCTCATCTACACGACGCTATATCAATGCTACATCCAACCGTTCAGCCGGGTACCGTGGCAGGGATGCGGCAAGTCGTGCTACCATTGAGCGGCCCATCGTACTCTACTATGTTCTGTCAGGACGGAGTGCATTCAAGTGAGTCCCGGGGTGGACTGTTTGCGTCACGATCGCGCAGTGTACTGTCATTATAGCGACTATATAATAGTATGGGTATCAGAAGCTGTATTCACCCAATCCACGCCGTTGGAAATGCAATACCTGATGTGATGTCTGTATGTGACTGCTTCTAATGTGGGGTAGAATTCTGGGACAAAGGTCTTTTTCGTGCTTGAGCTCATTTGATTGGGTCCTCGGCCATGTTTGAGGGGTAACTCGGGGTTGGCACACGCGGCGGCGACGGAGCATGTAGGTAAGTAACTTGATTGGCGCTGTTTGCCAAAGGCTTCGTCCCTTAGCGCCTGAGTATACTGTACCATTTCGACCTCAAGTTCAGTCACAGGTCGCACCCCCCTCTGAACTAGGGTTTTAGTTCAATGTCACAGGTCACAAGCCGTTCCGGGGAGCACTTTTTCTATCCTTCTCGGCGCTTCCGGCGCCCTACGGGCGCCAAATTACCGTTTATGGTAATTGTCACAGTTCACAGGGCCCTATGAACTAGGTATTTCGTTAGTTCATTGGTCACAGGTCACACCCCGTGAACTAGAGGTCGAAACGGTACAGTAGTTCCTGATCGGGCAATGATCGAGATCGAGACTGGCAACCGTTAAGGACGGCGGCCCGTCCGCTCTGCGTCCGCTACCGTGACTTTCCTCCACTCCAAGTACTTAGGGACATGCTTATGTTCCTCTGAGTCTGTGCCAGAATAGGTGCTGGCGTTTCCCACCAGCCTCATGCCCTCAGCCGTGACTGGGTCACAGGATTGGGAGGGATGATGGGTTCTCGCAATCATCGCGATGCTGGCTGGGGATAGTCCGCGGGGTGCGTGCTTGCGTGGAAGCTCAGCAGAGTACTACAGGTCATGCACGGCGGCTTTGGTCAGGTTTACATATGGAACCGCCCAGCCGTCCGAGACGCGCAGCTCTTCCTTTCCATTCAAGTTCACCCTGCTTCACCCCCTCTTATCTCGTCTGGACGAGCTGCCCTGCCTTGGGTCGCCTCCGACGAGAGCTAGTGTGTCCACTGCATCCGGCCGTCAACCTCACCATCCTACATCGCTCCTGCCTATTCGACCATCCAGCTGCGCGGGCGCCGTGCAACAGGCGAACCATCAGAAGCTGTCCAGCTTGTGGACTGTCCAAGACTACCCCTCATACTTATCGGTCCCGGCGCGAGGTCCTCTTCTCTATATCAACACATCCTCGCCAACGCCATGTCGGGCTACGGCCATGGGAGCCCACAACAGAACGGCGGCCGTAGGATGTTCAGCTGCAAGCCCTGCCGCATGCTCAAGATCAAATGCGATAGGTGCGTCGTTACGCCAGATTTTCTTCGCCGCCCTCACTCATCGAGTCATCGCTTTGCAGGAAGCAGCCCTGCACGCCGTGTCAGGTGGCATGTTCGTCAATCTTGCCTGCTGATGTTTCATATTGAAGCTGACGACACGTCGGACCATTTGCAGATACAGCGAAATATTGCCTATACAAGGGTGACAAGGGATATGACGGCGACGGCGTCGATCCGCCTAAGCGATCACTTCAAGATTATGCACGCAGCGAAGCATGCCAGAACCTCGTTCAGTCACTAGTGAAGGCTGATGCGTCCCTTGCGGAATTCGGCGCTACGACTGGTGAGATACAGGGCACCTTGAAGGTCCTACAGGCGGCGATGTCTACGGAGCAAGGTATCCGGGCCGTGAAAAACTGCGCAGAGGGTCATCACGAAATGATTGTGAATCTCCTGGATGCGGTGAGTGACTCTTAAGGTGTCTCTGTGCAATTCACAAATATCCTATAAATTTACGCCGCTTGTGATCCACACAGGTATTGGAACGAGTTTCTCCCCAGTCCCGCCAATACACCACGGTATTCCATGCACTTCGCAAATTGTGTGCACAGCATGGCCACGTCCCGGATTCATTGATCCTGCCAAGGGGTTCGGTTGTTCTGAGTCCGTCGACGTTTGACGAGACAGGCAGACCCGAGCCACATGCAAGTGGTGGGTTTGCAGACATCTACATGGGACAGTGGAAGGGGCAGGTTGTCGGGATCAAGGCTATGAAAACTTCCAGCCGTGACTCCGTTCAGTTATTGAAGGTACGTCTGGTGTCTATGTTGTGCCAGGACGACTGCCCTCAGACAACTCATCGTCATTCCCAGAGAATTGCCAAGGAGGCGACGATCTGGAGGCGTCTTGCACATCCGAATATCACACCCTTTTATGGAGTCGATACTGAACACTTCAAGGTCAGTATGGTATGTAAATGGATGTCGCACGGGCATATCATCGACTTTTTGGGCGAATATCCAGAAGAGAGCCGCCCGCGTTTGGTGAATTTTATCTACAACCCCAATATTTACCGCTCTGCATCGCTGATTATGTCATGTGATTGTGATCAGCTCCTGGATGTTGCCCGTGGACTCGCATACCTTCATTCAGACAGTGTTGGCATTATCCATGGAGACCTCAAAGGTGTACGTATTATATCATATCAGCATATGTGCACTCATCAGAGAGAAGGCAAACATCCTGATAGACGAGCACAACTCTGCTTGTCTTACGGATTTTGGGGTCTCTACTATCGTATACGAAACCTCTACTACACTCAATACGGTCACTCAGCCATGCGACTTCCACTCCACGCTTCGCTATATGGCTCCGGAGATCCACGACCCCGAACGATTTCTTGGGGAAGAAGTTGCGAAACCATCTAGAGAGAGCGATGTATACACATACTCCATGGTGATGTGGGAGGTACGTTGTAACATATCATGCTACCATCTGGTCGGTTTAATATAGAGCCAAGTAGATATTCACGGGAGAAATGCCGTACCAGAGCAGTTGGCACGACGGGGCCATTATAAACAAGATCGTCAATGGTGCACGACCTCAGCGTCCGCCCGACGCTGCGCGTCTTGGGCTATCTGACACCATCTGGTGTATCATGGGGAAGTGCTGGAACGGAGTTCCTTCCACAAGACCATCCATACTGGAGGTGATCTCCGACTTGGAACATGAGTGGAGCTCGTGGTTCCGCTCACACAGACCCACGGATGCAGAGAAGGAGGCGGGGGCAGCAACTACCGGGTCTCAGGCGATGCAAAACACGTCTGGTATGTTCTTGGGCCCTACCAGCAATGTGTTCGCCGTGAACCAGGTATGTCATGAGGTCTCTGTGGTCTGCAGTTTGCTTAGGGTATCTCTACTTGCTGTAGTTCGTCGGCGGGCGACCTTCACAGGGCCTTCCGGGCTTTTTGTCGAACCATGTCCCCGTTCTCGACGTGCGTCACCATGACGCAGATATTGTCGCCCAGCTCCCGGACCACAACACCGTGGAGTACCTCATCAACCATTATTTCGAATGCTGCAACTGGATCTACCGCTTCGTCCATGAACCAACCATTCGCGATGCGTGGTGGCGGTTCAGAAACGGCCAGTCTATGACCCGCGTCGAGCTCGCCACTGTTTGTGTCGTTATCGCCATCGCTATCCAATATCTCCCTCTGAGTCGTCACAAACTCTTCTCCGCCCTCCGCGGCAGTGCAATCGAATTGGGAAACACTTGCTTTAAGTTGTCCCGCGATCTTCTCGAGCGTCACCGCGAGATCACGCCGACACACACGCTCGAGTTTGTCGAGCTCCTTTTGGCGCAGACCACTATCTCATTGTCTTCGAGACGCGCCTTGAGGAGGTCTGCATTATGTGCGGCGAGCTGCTCACTATCGCTACCGCTATGGGCCTGCACTGCGATCCTCAGAACGTCTTGCCGGTCGAGCTGGCTGAACGTCGCCGCTGGGCGTGGTGGAACCTTATACTCATCGAGCGCTGGCAGGCCTTCTGTCTTGGCCGGCTTAACCACAACGGCTCTGATCACTTTGACGTCCAGCTGCCTGCGGAGAATCCGAACCCCTTCGGCTCGGACAGGCTCTTTCTGCCGCACTTCGCCCTCTTCAAGCTCATGCACATCTCCGCAGCGACCTTGGACGAGGCGACGGCGAAACTCCAGGTCACCTGGTCGGTCCTGCAGCAGAAGGATAAGCTGTTGACTGACTGGTTCGCCGAGCTCCCTCATGAAATGCTCCAGGAAGGTCAAGAATTGATCGACGGCCTCGCCAGCCTACACCCAGTTGTTCGCCGTCCCGCTGTCCAGGGCACGATCTTGCGCTTCATGTACAACTCCCTCCGCTTCACGCTCCACCGTCCCTGGATCCTCTTGCCGACGAGCTTGGATGTCGCGAGACAATGCGCATCGGAGCTGCTCCGTTTGATGGCGAAGGTGAAGGCCTCGCACACGCCGGCCCACTTCATGTGTGGCCCCTTCCAAACGGAAGTGGCCGCAACGTTTCTCTCCCAGCGAAGTTCATCATAAGATGTCAGCCGACTTGAACGTAACATCCATTGGCTGCTATTTCGGCGCGCGTCCGCGCCTACTGTGGCTATGGCGGGTCATAGCTTGCGCTGTCGCTGTCGCTGGGATCTACAGTGGCTCTGGGAGCCTACTATATTGGCTATGTAGCCGCGAGTGGATGCAATGGCCCCGGAATACTTTTTCTGACTCTGCCATCTGGGACAACAATGTAAGATATAACTCATCGCAGTCACTCATTGTATGTACACATCACTAGGAGATACAACACGAGACACTATCGCTCCGCTCCTGTGGAACAACGGATTCATGAGAGTCGGAGAGTAGACTCATTCGTGCCAGTGGTCATGTCGCTTGCAGTAGACCATCTCAAGATGCGGCTTTCATGGTATGCGACAGAAAATCACCGTGTCTGATTCGCAGGACGACTCCAGTCACTGGTGCTTGCTTGGGTGTCAGTGACATCCGTTGAACCCAAAGGTACGAGAAATCCCGCATAGCAGCGGAGTATATGTTCCTATCGAACGCAGTCTCGGCGAAGATGGCATTTAGGAGAGCATCGCCGCATCGAGCACGTCTTGGCTCACTCCGGCTCAAGAGCCATGAATGGAGAATATTACTTCCGAGTCAAGTTGGCGAGTTCTTCCTAAGTAGGTTCGGAACAGTCCTTGCTCGAGATCTGACTCATGCGCCACACGCCACCGTGACAGCAGGTACTCACTCGAATGCGTCGCTCGTCGCGTCTTCTTTTGCCAGAACGGATGCAGACTGAAGTACTGACTAGCGACTGCTGGAAAACATAGCCCCATCAGCCTCATGACCTCTTCAGATTAACGCGTTAACGGCGGCCGGCGCGATCCCCCCATTTACGCTCTGCGAGCTAAGTTGCCAAGCCAGGCCAACCAGGCATTAATGGATGCGACGGACTCGGGGACACCGTTTGGACCGCTGTTGCTCACAGTCCATGATGTGAGTGCACGTTCGTATTACTACATAGTCCTCTCTACTTCCATGCAAAGCTAGACAGGGGTGTTGCAGCTAACGCGCTGACGGCAGGCTATTTTTGAAGTCGTGCTGGTCTGTTCAGCTGGGTACATCCTGGCGCGAAAGGGCATCTTAGACAAACCAACACAAGGTCGGTCACTCCAGTGTCACTCTGACAAAGACCGATTTCGACGGCAGGCGCTGACGACCATATGCTTGCCAGCAAATCAATCGTGTCAACGTATCATTCTTCACGCCGGCGCTGTTGCTCTCCAAAGCAGTGTTCTTCCTCTCACCAAGTGAGCGCGGTACCTCGCAGACACAAGTGTGTTCTTCCAATACTCATCCTTTGACTACCGGCGAAACTGCGCGAGCTATGAATTATATCCATTTTATTCGCCCTAACGACCGTCGCTTCGATAACTTTCGCACAGTTCTTGGGATGGTTGCTCAGAGAAATCCAGAGGTACGTCCACTTGGCTCTACATCGCCGCTCATATCCCGAATGACTGACGGTTTCTATCTGCAATCCTTACATTTGATGCATGTGGCGTACAATTGACATCCTGCTTGTCATGGTGCCACAGGGCCTTCGCAACGGCCGCAGGAATGTTCATGAATTCAAACACGCTGCCCATAGCCCTCATGCAAAGCCTGGTGATTACCGTCCCAGAGATTTGAAGTGGGGCGCGGGCGATAGTGGCGAGGAGATGCTTGGCCGGGCGCTGACATATGTACCTCGACCTCCATCCGGGGCTTGGGATGATGGTATGTAATCTCCGTCCGCGCAGAAGCCGTGTTTCCTGTGCTGAGAGCCACGATTCTCTCGCAGGTCCGTTGGAGTTACGGGGTACGTCTTCTGTCCAAAGCGGATCCCGAAGTCGCCGGAGAAACTTCGTCGGAGCCTGTCCACAAGCCGGTCGCGGAGCCTGTGGAAACGGTCTACTCAGACTCTGCTGAGCCGCCGCCAGAAGGCGGCTCGGATGACACGCCGGTGGCCATAACCAATGACAGAGGCAGGACAGACTTCTTCCTCAAACTATGTGCCCCTGCAACGTTGACGAGCCCAATGCGTCACCCCGCGACGAGGAGTCCGACGACAATGCAGCCAATCTCCCGCTCGCCCGGCGCCTACGTCTTCGATATGGCAGTCGCACCGTCGACGCTTGGGCAATCGTCTTCGCGAACTGTGGAAGGTCTTCTGTGAACGCATGAAGATGCCATTTTGGGCAGCGCTGGCCGCCCTCGTGTTCGCGTGTATCTCCCCGCTCCAGCGGACACTCGCACATATTGAGTGCATCCGAGGCGCGCTGGACATGGCGGGCGATTGCTCGATCCCACTGACGCTCGTCGTGCAGGGCGCGTACTTTTACACGCCAGCCACCGTGGCGGTGACGGGCACGCGCGCCTGCCTGTTTGCAAGCCAGCGCCAACGCGCCTCGCGGGCTCAAATTCAGCGCGCACTTCCAGGACCCGGTCCTCTCGGAATTTCTTTTGATAAGGACTTACGGGGACGAAGGCGCTCTAGAGGAGAGACGGGGAACGGGGAACGACGGCCGGGAGGGAGCAAGATAGTCGGCATCGCGGTGCTGTCGCGATGGATCCTCGCGCCGGCCGTGCTGCTGCCGCTGTTCATGTAGGCGACGAAGGAGAACTGGCAGCCGGTCTTCGAAGAGTGAGTGTGGCTCGAGCTTATCTTATTATGGACGTTCGCCGCTAACCGCCGCCTTCTTCATAACCATCGTCCCACTTCTGTGGCCCCTGCCTGCTTCGCGCGATGCCCGCCGTGCGCTTCTTTATTCGCCGTGCCGTGCCGGTCCCCCTCCCAGCCCGGTCGTCGTCGTGCACCACGTCCTGCTGCTCACTTCGCCGTCCGCGCAGATAACGCAGACTGCCTCGGGTGGACGCGTTCGAGCGCCTGCTGAGCCGAACGGTGTTCTGGAGTTACTGCGTCGTGACGCCCTCAAGCATGATCGCGGTTGTGGTCGTAGGTTTGTTATTGACGAAGCTCTGATGCAGACGGGCCGCGACCTACACTTCAGTCCCATAGAGCCCCATGGCACCTCGCTGTCACAGCTGTGCCTTCCGCCAGGGCTGATGCTACGCAAAGGACGTGCATCGTGCCGCCGGGTGCATTGACATGGGAGATCCGCGTCTGGCGTTGGTGCCTCAGGCCTCATCGACATCGGTGAATCCCTGATGTGACCTCAAGAGTTGGATGCCCCCGCCATTGTTGTTGTGTGATCCGAATGAGGATCGGGTGAGCGAGACTCGTCTGGACTGTCGAGCGTGCTTTCTACGGCTCTGTGGATGTGTGGTGAGAGTTCGAACTGTGGTACGATGGGTGCGGTTATGGCTGGTGTTGTCAGTAATACTTCTGGGAGACTTGTAAATGAGAGTTGTCCACACCCGCGGTCATTTGCAGGCGATGCTGGTGTGGCCAGCTTCGAACTTGCACACATACAATGCCGGACTGGCAAGCGGCGGCAGCTGCAACGTGTGTCACTCGCGGAAGCCCGTAAGCGCCGTAAGCGCACCACGCGTTGCTCAGGCTTGCCACACCGATCAAGCGCCCGACTTAAGGCTTACGATGCACAATAGAGTTCGGCTGGAATGGCAATAACCCGGCCTCCTCCCTGCCCGGCCGTGCAGCGGAGGTGCGGCCGGTCGTTGAGGGTGCGGTATGAGTGGCTGCGGCAGGCGGCGGAGGCATATCGAGGCAGGGGTACTGTAACGGGATCGGGAGGATAAAGAGTTCTTGCAATCGCGATGTTGGCTGGGGACCGTCCGCGGGGAGCGTGCTTGGGTGCGCGGAAGCTTAATATAGTAGTCTAGGGAGGCTTTAGTCGGGCTTACAAATATACTATTAATCCCCAGTCGGCCCAGGCGCGCAGCTCTCTCACTTCCTCCCATCTCGTGTGGCGTCGTCCCCTACGAGAGCTGCCTCTGCCTCGAGTCACCTCACCTCGAGCTAGTGTGGCCACCGCATCCGGCCATTAACCTCGCCAGCGTACACCGCTCCTGCGTCTTCACCCACTAAGCTGTGCAGGCGCTGTGCAACAGGCGGACTAGAAGCCGCCCACTGTCTGTGACACCCCTCGTACTTCTCGGTCCCGGCGCGAAGTCCTCTTCTCTTTACCACTACATCCTCGCCAACGCCATGTCTGACGACGGCAACGGGAACTCACTACAGAACGGCGGCAGCAAGGCGGCCCAGCGCGCCCGTAGGGTGCTGAACTGCGGGCCCTGCCGCAAGAACAAGCTCAAGTGCGATAGGTGTGTCGCTGCGTCAGCTTCTCTTCGCCGCCCTCGCTTACCGATCCTCGCTCTGCAGGAAGCGACCCTGCTCGTCGTGTCAACTGCGAAGTTCGTCGTTCTCGCTCGCTGATGTCATGTTGAAGCTGACGACACGTGTCGAACCATTTGCAGAGCGAGACCGCTTGCCGCTACGAGGACGAAGGGTATGCGGCACGGCCAGTGGCGTTTCGTTGGACCTCAGGAGAGACCATGGATGTCTACGAGCCTGAACCGCCAGCGATCCTGAGTCGACCGGGCTGATAACGTGCCCGTCGAGCAATCGTGCCTAATTGGTGCGTTGTACTGATGCAAAGTAAGCACCGCATGCGATTCTGTCGTCCTGTCAGCTCATGTTGTTGCAGCATGAACACCGATCTATCAACGAGTCGCACAGGTTCGCACCAGCTGGAGGCGTTGGAGGCCAACTGAACAGGCATCAAGGCGCTTCTCATCCAGCGGTGGCTTCGCTGCGCGCAGCTACCCAGGAAAACCATCCGACA